TTTTCCTTCATATTTCTTGGCATTTTAAACAATTCATGTAACACCCGGAAGGTCCCAAGGGCAGAAAATTGGCTCCTGGATCTGCCGCAGTTGCACGCGCCTGCTTCAAAACCATTATTTTTTCCTGGCTTATTTCATTGGAAAACCATAAATTACCTCCCCATTTCTTCTGCAAGTTCACATTTAACACACAAAATAACTAGGTGGTTTAGCTAGTCTTGTGGCTCTTGATGAGTGCTATTTTGCTGAGGCTTCTGCCACTGGCAACATGCCCAACTTTTGTAGGCTAGGCTCACTTCACTTAAAGCTATACATTTATTCACATTTCTTGGGGGGGGGGGGGCTGTCAATCCTGTATCAGCCTGAGCCACAGCAGTTTACTATTCAGATCTACTCTTATATACTTTTTTGAAACATAGCAACATTACCCTTTAGTGGCCACAGTGCCTGTTGAACGGGTGTGGCTGCTCAAGGAATATCGGGAACTGTACAGTTGTAAGTACTGGAAATCCTGGTATAAAACCCTTGTGGTTCCCACAGAATCACCCATAACTCTTTTTTTTTATTTTGATATGAGGAGAAGTAACTCAGTTCCCAGGTGATGCTACAATGTAGCTTGCAATTCACTATACATTCTGAGTTGCGTACTTACCCAACACAGAATGCATAGCGTGAATTGCATATACTCCACAAAGGCAGGAGTCACCTACCTTGCATGTCTTTATTAAATATGCCAATAAAAATGATTTCTTCAAGCAGTTTCAACTAGATATTAAAAAGAATGAAGGCAAATAGCACGAAGCAATCTTAACCTATCTGAAGGAAGACAGTAGGAGCTTGTTTTCTGCTGCTTCAGAGGGTAGGACCAAACCAATGGATTCAAATATAGTAGGAGCTCCATATTTATGGGATAACATCCCAACTGTAGTTTCCTTATGCTGTGAATTTGATTGAACATCATTAAATTACCCAACTTCTGGCCCCAGCATACCACAGAATTGCATCAGAAAACATCCTCTCTAGGAATTTGCTTAGGTCCTCCAACTCAACTCAGTAGTATCTTTTGGGGAAAGCATTCCATAGAATTGCCTGGAGGACCTAGCAAATTCCCCGAGAGACTGTTTACTCCAAAGCACAGACAAGTGAAACCACACATGTGGGTTTTATGGTTACTGTAACAAGGGAAATTCTGGTTTCCTGATGGTAAGAGGTATTTGTCCATGGGTTGGGTTGATGCATGTCATAAGGTGGTGAACCATCCTTTATTGGAGATCTTTAAACAGAGATGGATATCCACATCTCATGGAAATTACAACTCGTCCAACACTTGGCAGCCAGATTAATAACTGGGGCGACTTACAGGGAGCGGTCAGCCCCCCTGTTTAAGGAGCTTCATTGGCTGCATTCATCTTCCGGTCCCAATTCAAGGTACAGGTTCTGACCTATAAAGCCCTAAACAGTTTGGGACCCACCTACCTTCGTGACCGTATCTCTCTCCCTGAACCAGCCCGAGCTCTTCATTTTTCAGGGGAGGCTCTCATTTCTCCCCTGCCAGTTTCTCAGGCTCACCTTGTGGGTACAAGGGAGAGAGCCTTCTCCTCTGTGGCTCCCCGACTCTGGAGCTCATTGCCTGAAGAGATTAGAAAAGTACTTCCCTAGAAACCTTTAAAAAGAATCTCAAGACCTGGCTCTGCTGTTGCGCTTTTGGAGAGTAGTCACATAATCTTAAGCTATTGCTCCCCTCAACATTCTTGTCCTAGGTGTACACCCCCCCCCTTGTGCAAAGGTCTATCAATCACCCTGTCTCTCTACGAGTTCTCCTTTGCAAATAATTCTGCTCCTTTATCTCACCCTGAGTTTTTTAATCATTTTATGTACATGCGGTCTGCTCACTGTTATTATGTCTGAATTCAGCTGCACATTGGGTCAGTGTCATTCCTGCCATGTTTTAATGGTCCAAGTGCATTACTTGCTCATTTCTCTTAATAGCACATATATGTTGGTCTTTGTTTAGTTACATTTTCATTTTTTTCCTTTGTGGGTTTTTAAAAAAATGTAATTTAGTTCTATTTTAACGTTGATCATTTTGCATGGCTTGACTATCTTATATTTTGAATTGTTAGTTGCCTTGAATTCTACTTTAGAGAGAAGGCAAGGTGTGGAAATGATTATGACAACGACAGTTGTTACTGAGATTTGATGCTTTCATGTAAAGACCTATGGTTTCCATTTTGTATCTGTGGAGCATCAGAGGTAGAAGATATCATAAAAGAACTGCTTAGTTGTAACTTGTATAAGAAAGAGAGGAACCAATACCTTGAGCCGTACATTATACAGGAAACACATTGGGATCCTTATATTAAAACTAGATTTTTATTGGCCAGCCGTAATGCTAAAATAATATACAAAACTGCCCTTTTTCTATTTAAAGCAATTCAGATGAGAACTTCATATTTGGAGTCGATTGGTGTAAATTGTAGGGGTGATGCAGATATTTGATCTGCATCAGGATTTTGACCTCTTGCCAACAGCTTATTATAACTTTGATTGTAATGTGGGTTGTATGCTCTATGTGTATGTGTTTAATGTGTTTGGCAAATGTTTTGATATGTCCGAATCAATAAGTATCTATGGTTTCAGTTGTGTCAATTCCAAATAGACAATGGGAACATCTGAATGAAATAACCACAGATAGGATCTCGTAGCATAGTTACGAAAAGTGACACTACCTGGAACATGCCACAATATTCAGAGACTATTTCACGGATTCTTGGATTTTGGATAGCATCCAAATCTTTGGTAGACCAAAGGTACAGTCAGACCCATTCTACACTGTCCTTATATCCCAGGATCTGATCCCAGATTATCTGCTTATCTCAGATTATATAGCAGTGGAGACTCATATAATCCATTTTAAAGTAGATTACCTGGGATTGGATCTTGGGATATAAAATCAGTGTAGAAGTAACATCTGGCAAACTGTAAAACTAAGAGGAGGAAGAAGGAGATAGCAGCATATCACTCTGTGTGAACAGTTTGGCACTGTTGGTAGTCCTGTTTTTCAGTAAACCTGCCCATGGTGGTCTCCACCCCTGGATAGTATAGGTGATATTCCGTCTTGAGGAAAATTCCAGTTCAACTCTACACATTGTATGTCTGGCTTTACTTTTGGTTTTAAGTATTCAATAAGCCCCAGTCAGTGGTTTTCAAATGAATAGAGCAGATTTTCATTCAGACTTTGAGCTGCTTTTGAGTCTCTTTATTCAGTCGCTTCTGATTCTTTGTGACCTCGCGGACCAGCCCACGCCAGAGCTCCCTGTCGGTCTTCACCACCCCCAGCTCCTTCAAGGTCAAGCCAGTCCTTTCAAGGATACCATCCATTCATCTTGCCCTTGGTTGACCCCTCTTCCTTTTCCCTTCCATTTTTCCCTGTATCATTGTCTTCTCCAAGCTTTCCTGTCTTCTCATGATGTGGCCAAAGTACTTCATCTTTGCCTCTAATATCCTTCCCTAAAGTGAGCAGTTGGGCATTATTTCCTGGAGTATGGACTGGTTGGATGTTCTCGCAGTCCAAGGCACTTTCAGAATTTTCCTCCAACACCACAGTTCAAAATCATCTATCTTCCTTTGCTCGGCCTTCCTTATGGTCCAGTTCTCACAGCCATAAGTTACTACGGGGAATACCACTGCTTTTACTATGTGGATCTTCATTGCCAGTGTGATGTCTCTACTCTTCACTATTTTATCGAGATTGGTCATTGCTCTCCTCCCAAGAAGTAAGAGTCTCCTGATTTCCTGGCTGTAGTCTGCGTCTGCAGTAATCTTAGTGTCTAGAAATACAAAGTCTGTCACTGCCTCCATATTTTCTCCCTCTATTTGACAATTATCAATCAGTTGGGTTGCTATAATCTTAGTTTTTTTAATGTTTAACTGCAACCAGCTTTTGAACTTTGAGTCTCCTTATGGTGAGAAAAAATGGTGTATTATTATTAATAATACTTCTGCCGCTTCTGTGACTGTTTATTTGTATTTTGATTTTGTAGCCCACTTGTTGATGGATGTCCAGAATCAGCAGCATCCATCATGGTCCTTTTTATCCTGGGTGTCAAGCGAGGCAGTACAGACTTCATTTTGATTTGTTTCTCCATAGTGCTAATGAGTTAGATACTCTTAGTTCCACTCCTCAGCTGAGACCTCTCTGACTTGGTTGGACCTACTGGTAGTTACATTACCGCCAGCACAGCTCTCAGCATCCTTGGAGCAGTTAAGCCCCCCATTACAACAAGGTGGCACCCATCAGGTCAAAAGAGCTCAGCTGGCATTTGAAAACAACAAACATTGACAAAATCACTATCTGTCAACTGCAAAAGGCCACCTTACTTGGATATGTGATATGAAATTCAGCATATAGATCTCATTTTCTGTGTCATACTGTGTTTTTGTGTCAGTAAAATAATAATAATAATAATAATAATAATAATACAATAACAACAATGCAATCTAGGATCAGCACTTTGGCTACTCTCTTCATTGTCTGGATTAAAAACTAGGGTTGGTTCACCACTCCTGTGACACTATGATATGCCGTGGGCCACAGCGAGATTCTGAGTTACATTAGTGTATTAATGACTCAAGCGGATTTCAACAGAAGCCAAGACTCTTGTGTAATTGTGCCAGACAGTAAGGGCAGGGTAGAGCTAGCATATGGGTGTGTGAGTGGTGTGTCTGGGATTATGACTCTGGAAGACCAGGGTTCAAATCCCCACTCAGCCATGGAAACCCGCTGGTGATCTTTAGCGAGGCGCACTCTCTCAGGCTCAGAAGAAGGCAAACCTCTCATAATAAATCTTGCCAATAAAACTTCAGGATAGGATCACCGTTAGTCATAGTCAATTTGAAGGCACCAAACAACAACAAAAGGGCTAGAGTGCATAGTTATTTTTAATCAATTGAACAAATCTTCACTAAAAAGTATCATTAATCACATTTTTCCTTTGCAGATCTCAACAGCCAAGCAAAAGTGACTGAAAACAAGAAACGCTACAGTGAAATTTTCCGGAGTCTAGATGCCCTGGAAATTTCAATTGGAAATGCGTATGTATCCAAGGAAGGCTTCATAATACTTATGATAATTCAGTACTCACCGCCACATGCAGTTGTAGACACTGGAGAAACATTAATGTAGATGGGAATGTATAAATCATGAAATCCAGCGTGGTATAGTAGCTAGAGTACTGGATTTGAACCAAAGCCTCATGTTGAAACATCCATTCAGGTTGTTTTCTGACAATACCTAATAGTTTTGAACAGAAACATACTCATTTCCCATTCAATCAGAGAATCCGATAGAATTATAGAGTTAGAAGAAACCACATAGGACATCCAGTCCAACTCCCTTCAGTGCAGGAAAATCAGAATCAATGCATCCCAACAGATGGCCACCCAGCCTCTGTTTAAAAGTCTCCAAAGAAGGAACCTCCATTGCACTCTGAGGCAATGAGTTTCACTGTTGAACAACTCTAATCATGAGGACGTTCTTCCTAGTGTTAAGGTGAAATCTCCTTTTCTGTAATTTGAACCCATTGCTCTGAGTCATAGTCTCCAGGGCAGCAGAAAATTGTATTTTCCCAGTTGTATTTCCCCCCAGATATATTAATGCATTTGGATATAGATTAAGTCAAGTAGAAATGGCAATGTATAGTGGCATCCAGTACCCAGTATTAGAGGCGGCTTCTTCATTCTGCATAACGGTGTATTGCCATGTGCTGTTCAGTCCTCATAGCAATCTGTATTTTATGTGATTTCTACTATGGGTTCTTTCTAATTTGCAGGGCTGTTGATATGTTCATTGATGATGTTAATGACAATGCTACACAAGTGTCAAACCCACAGGAGGAAAATCTCCAGGTATGATGAACATGCAAGGTGAATTGTGTGTGTGTGAAAAACTGAGGCAAGTATGTGTTTACCCAGACCTTGCGTCTTCCCTTTGAGTAACACCATTTCATTATTTACATGATCAACTCTCCAACAAGATTAGATCAAGGACTAATGGCAAGATAGACACTCTGGGGCAGAGAATGGGAGTGGAGGTATTGGTTCGGCCACAAGGAATAGCATTACTCCAGAGAACAATAACTCATAACCCTGGCTAGATGTTGTTAGGATTTCTGGGAGTTGAAGGCCAAAACATCAGGGAACCCACAGGCTGAGAACCACTGCTCTAGTGGGTCTCAGCAGGTGACATAGCAGAACCTTCTCCAATAACATTCCTCTATGTCATTGTGGTATGTGTTATTTTTCTTATTTTAAATGACATATAATAATAATAATAATAATAATAATAATAATAATAATCTTAACTTAACTGCTTAAAGGGTTAACTGCTTATGATGCTGAGAGCTGTGCTGGCGGTAGTGTAAACTACCAGCAGGTTCAACCAATCCAGAGTGGTCTCAACTGAGAAGTAGAACTAAGTGCACCCAACCCATTTAAATATGGTGAAACAAACACTAAAGAAGTCTATACTGGCTCGGTCGTCACCCTGGATAATAAGGACCGTGGTGAGTGCTTCTCCCGGGCACCCATTGACAAGTGAACTACAGGAACCAGGACCCACTGCTGAGCAAACAGGGCATGGGCCTGTAAAGCAACTGGAAGCAAAACAATGACAGAAGCGGCAGAAATGTTCAATGTCACAGAACCAAACTGTGATAAACTGCTATTATAGAAAGAGTTTTGGAGCACAATACTCCTGACCTCACAATCGTGTTAAAAAACAAAGTATGGATTGTCGATGTTGCAATCCCCGGTGATAGCAGGATTGAAGACAAACAACTAGAAAAGTTGACATGATACGAGGATTTAAAGATCGAACTACAAAGACTGTGGCACAAGCCAGTCAAAATGGTCCCAGTGGTGATTGGCACACTAGGTGCAGTGCCTAAATACCTTGGTCTGCACTTAAACACAATCGGCGCTGACAAAATTACCATCTGTCAGCTGCAAAAGACCACCTTACTGGGATCTATAAGCATTATTCGCCAATACATCACACAGTCCTACAGGCCCGTAGCCAGGATTTTGTTTCGGGGGGGGGGGGTGAATTTTTTTCAGGGGTTTCGGGGGGGCTGAGTTTCGGGGGGGGGGGGCTGAGTCTGAGTGAAAGAGGGGTCTAGCCTAGCAAACCTTTTGTATCGTTACCCCAATACCCCCATGCATATGGGATATATTGAGCATGGTGATCAGATCATGATATGAATAAACATAACAGTTTAAATAATGCAAGTAAGGCCTTTTCGCGAACCACCATGAGAATTTCGGGGGGGGGCTGAAGCCCCCCGAGCCCCCCCCCCCCCGGCTACATGCCTGCAGTCCTAGATACTTGGGAAGTGTCCAACGTGTGATCCAATACAACAGCCAGCAGAGTGATCTTGTCTGCTATGGGCTCATTTTGTTGTGTTTCAAATCATAATAATAATAACAACTGCATTTTTGTATCCCGCCACCATCTCCCTGAAGGGACTTGGGGTGGCTTACATGGGGACCAAGCCCAGTCAACACAATTACAAACATGAAACGATAAAATACAATAAAAACATCATAAAACATAAACATCATATGTTATGTCATAAACATAATAAACATTTCTATTCTTCTGTACTATCTTTTGTAATTGTTGACATCAAATAGAATATTTTATTCGCGTCTTTGAATGAGTGTTGTTTTAATTTCTAGACATATCAGAACTATATATATATCTCTTCTCCACCTTAATTTCTTTTCTTAAGACCTTATCACACAAGGCAGATGGATCGCAATTACAGCAGGATAACAGCCTGACGTATGACATGGTATCATTCTCTTTTATTGTTCTCCTGATGGGAGACTGTTGGAAGGCATTTCTTTTACAAAATGAGGTCACTGATGGCTTTCTAGGGTATCTCCCACCAGAACAACATTGGAAGAGGAGTAATGTCACATGATAAATGCCAACCAAAGACACTATTGTCCTGCTGTAATTGCAATTTGCCTGCTTTGTGTGATAAGCTCATTAGAATTGTAATGCATCAGTGAAATGGCATTTTCACAGTATATCATAATAGCCTAAATTCTCTTATTAGTTCTGACTGCAGTAGAGCTGTGGAATCACTGAGATATACCTTTAGTCCTTAACATATCATGTTGTTATGCCAGATTATACCAAGTGGAAATTGCTTAAGATGTAATAGCAATGAAAGCTGATTTTTGATGCTGTATATGACACTCTTGCCACACTTGTGCTGTAATAATGTGATTTGCAGGGTTTTTTCTTCTTCTGCATTAATGCCATTGTCACCAACCCATGTTCCCCGCCTTATGGTTCATGATTAGTTTGCTTCAAAATATGATCCATAATAATGTTATTACGGCATAATGATGGGTGCACTGGGGGCCCTTCCACACAGCCCTGTATCCCACAATATCAAGGCAGAAAATCCCACATTATCTGTTTTGAACTGGGTTATTTGAGTCCACATTCAGATAATGTGCGATTTTCTGCCTTGATATCCTGGGATATAGGGCTGTGTGGAAGGGCCCCAGGATGTCCTAAGCTTCCTCAACTCCTATCTGCTTATTTTCTCCACCATCATTATAAAGCTCCATTTCTTGTGTAGAGCACAGTTGAACTCCAACAGGGAGAACCATGATGTTGGGCAATAAGGCTGAGACAAAAGTGGGACCAAACTGTTGCTTATGGTGGTATAAAGACCTACAGTAGAGTCTCGCTTACTCAACCTTCGCTCATTCAACGTTCTGTATTATCCAACTCAGTCTGCCTCCTGCCCGGATCCACAGCTGTTTCAATATATTGTGATGTTTTGGTGCTAAATTCATAAATACAGTAATTACTACATAACGTTATTGTGTATTGAACTGCTTTTTCTGTTAATTTGTTGTAAAACATGTTGTTTTGGTGCTTAATTTGTAAAATCATGACTTAATTTGATGTTTAATAGGCTTTAACTGAGACTAACCAACAATATGCCCACCTATATTTCTTTGTATTATAGTGCAAAAGTGCAATTTCAGGCATGCACTGTAATAAATATTTTTGTAATAGGAAGAAAAAAAGAAGATTTTTTTTAAGAATTAGGAGAAAGAAATCCCTTCAGACCATTAGATCTCCTCAGCAAATTGCGCCCTTGATTTTCACACAATCTTTCGAAGGGTTTTGGTGTACATTCAACAAATCACTACAAAAACAGCCATCCAAAAAGAATGGATGCTATTTGCAACTAGCAACACCTGACAAAATCCAAAGAGTTCTGTTATGAGGATGCACATTTCTTCCGACCATTCTGTAAGAGATCGTGATCTAGGGCTTTGAGGCAAACTCAGAATAAGGGTCCTTCCACTCAGCCCTATATCCCAGAATATCAAGGCAGAATAACTCACAATATCTGCTTTGAACTGGGTTATCTGAGTCCGCACTGCCATATAATCCAGTTCAAAGCAGATAAGATTGCTGTGTTAGGTAAAGTAAATGAAGATTTATGAGGGCTAATTTCCTCCCTTTTTTAAAAAAAGGTTACATTTCAATTTTTCTCACATCTTTTTGTGTTTCAGCAAGAAATTTTCCATATTTGTGAAAAAAATGTGGAGGAAGGAGAACCAACAAACATGTCAGGTAATTGCAAGAGAGGTTAAACATGCTTCCCCTTGTTCCTTCAAAATACCAGATTTTATATAGTAGCATGTTGCTGTGTGTGCCTAGGAATTGTGTTATTATTTTATCAGTGAGTTTAGATTAGTTCCTTCGCCTTATTTTTTTTTTTTTTAGAAATGATCACTGTGTGTGTTGCAGGAATGTTTTTTTATGCGGCCATCCCTCCACATTTGTGGATTAAACATTTGGATTTGATTAGTCTCAGGTTGCTGTATTTGGGCTGCCTTACATACACAAATGAAAAAAAAAGTTATCTCCTGACATTTATAGGTCTTCTAGCATGATTCTATTATCATCTTCTGGCAGAAGTTGACCATACAATTATACTGGAAGACTTAAAATACACAAGGAAGTGTTATCCTAGGTAAAATATACATATTGTATTTGTAATATTTATTTATATTAACAGTTTTTGCACTTTAGCAGGGACTCTACACCCTTAACCCCCTCAAATGTGGAGGCACTGCATTTTAATTTTTTGATGCCTTATAGTTTATTTTTGTTACACTATTAATTACATTGTAGGGGCTATGGTGGCGCAGCGGGTTAAACCACTGAGTTGTTGAACTTGCTGACTGGAAGGTCGGGGGTTCGAATCCGTGGGATGGGGTGAGCTCCCATTGTTAGCCCCAGCTTCTGCCAACCTAGCAGTTTCAAAACATGCAAATGTGAGTAGATCAATAGACGCCGCTCCAGCAGGAAGATAAAGGCATTCCATGCAGTCATGCTGGCCACATGACCTTGGAGGCATCTATGGACAATACCAACACTTCATCTTAGAAATTGAGATAAGCACCACCCCCCAGAGTCGGAATCAACTCAACTTAATGTCGAGGGGAAACCTTTACCTTTACCTTATTAAATTGTAACAGCATACTAAGCAAGTATAAACAAACAAGAAAAAAAAATCAACATTCTATTTAAAACATATCCAAAGCATGTCTAAAACATGGTATATACAAATAAAAACATAATTTAAAACCATTTTTTAAAAATTGTGGTATATGCAAATAAAACATATTTAAAATTTATGAGCTACATGATACATATAAATAGAAATAAAAAATATATGCTAAAACATTAACCACTAAAATCATTCACAACTTGGCTCCTTAGGTTTTATAGTAGCATCACAAAATCAAGCCATTTTTAAGTTGGGAAAGCATGTTATGACTACGTTGGGCATCTCATACATGTGCTCAAGATCTCTTGTGGTATTAATGTCACCTTTAGGGACATCTTTTTAAGATTTTCTGATTTAATTTCATCATTATGGACAGGTTGCGCCTCACTGATTCATTCACCATGAGATCAAATTCAAGTTTACACATCCGTGTATTAAAGACAAACAGAACAGCATGATGTGGAATTCACAAGCAAGCCTGTTCATTCATACCTACCAATATGGCCTCACAGGGTGGTTGTGGGACATGTAATATGACCTCTGCAGATGATTTCGAGGAGCTAAAGTCCAGTATTTGTGGAGGTTTGTGGAGGTTCATATCATGGTTGTCATGCATGTCATGATTCAAGTCTGGTTGTCTAGAGTTGATGAAACTGGAGATGATTTCTGTATATAGAAGAGAGAGTTCCGGCAAGTGTTGGATGTGATCTGTTTCAAACATAACCACTAAAGGTACAAGAGTCCTCTCCATTTTTCTCTCTGGCAATGCTATGAATGGTCTTGATTAGGAACAAACAGATGGCAATACTAAAGTATCTTCACAATCGATTTTCTGTAATCAATCTGCCGTTTCATTTTCAGTGGAAGAGGCTGATGAGATGCTGATCAAGTGTGACGGAGGTGTGGAAGAAGCCCTTGGGTATGCCAAAATGTGGTGCAAATATGTCAAGGAGCTGTTGAACTGGGTAGACAAACGCCTGGCTCATGGTGAGATTTATCTATCAGTATCCAGAATCCATGAAATTCTCTCCTTCCCCACATATATATTCCTTAGTTTACCCATTTGGAAGCTACTCCTACACATTAATGTGTCCATGAAATTGTCCCCTCAAGCCATCCTGGGTTAATCCCCCCAGAATATATAACATTTGAATGAACTTGTCAGAGTAGCTTTTCAAAATGAAAAGTGTTTGTGGCTAAACACTAACAAAAAAGGTACCAAAGTCTTTATTTATTTAGTTTTATTTAGTTATTTTCATTTCTTTATCCCGCCATTCTCCCAATATAGGGGTTCAAGGCAGCTAATAATTACTTTGTATTTACAAACTTAACATCCATTTTCTTTGGAAAGTCCATCCATTCACCCGTTTCTTGTTCTCAGAGGTTGAATTTGCAAAGAACATCCTCAAGATTGCTGAAGCTGGCCGAAATGCTATTTTTCCTCAGGTAAGTTTCCCTGGATGCTCCCTTCTGTGACTTCCTTTTGCAGTTTGCACGCAATTATTTGCTCTTATAGAATTATAGAATAATAGAATTGGAAGAGACCACAAGGGCCATCTAGTCCAACCTTCTGCCATGCAGGAAAAGCATAATCAAAGTGTTCCTGACAGAATCCTAGACAATAAAAAATCTAGTTTAAGATCAAGAGCACTATTTTTGCAGACTATATATGTATTCATCATCTATATAAATAAAAATGTAATGTTCATTTGTGGGATTAACATAACTCAAAAACCACTGGATGAATTGACACCAAATTTGGGCACAATGCATCTATCAGGCCAACGAGTGACCATCTTACAGGGAGCGGTCAACCCTACTGTTTAAGGAGCTCCACTGGCTGCCATTCATTTTCCAGTCCCAATTCAAGGTGCAGGTTCTGACCTACAAAGCCCTGAACGGTTTGGGACCTGCCTACCTATGTGACTGCATTTCTGTGTATGAACCCACACGATCTCTTCGATCATTTGGAGAGGCCCTGCTCATGCTCCCATCTCCCTCGTAGGCTCAATTAGTTGGGACGAGGGAGAGGGCCTTCTCGGTAGTGGCCCCTCGACTCTGGAACTCACTTTCCAGGGACATTAGACATGCTCCAACGTTGGCAGTCTTTAGGAGGAGCCTGAAAACGTGGTTGTTCCAGTGTGCCTTCCCAGAATAGGAGAACTCTCAGTAATATGCCCTCATAATGCACTTTAATACTGACTTAGAATGGATTGTTGTTCCCTCGTTTCTCTCTGAAAAATCCTATCCAGTTCTATTTTTACCTGTTCACGTCAGCATATTTTCAATTTTAATCTAGTACATTTGGCCCAGCCATTTTAAAACTGTTTATATGTTATTATTGATCGTTGTTTTGTTATGTGATTTATATGATTGTATTTTATTGATTGTTTATTAATGTGCTATTGATGTTGTTTGATGTATTTTGGGCTTGGCCTCATGTAAGCCACACCGAGTCCCATGGGGAGATGGTTAGCGGAGTACAAATGAAGTTTTTATTATTATTATTATTATTATTATTATTATTATTATTATTATTCATAAGAACACTGAAAAACACAGAAGAGACTTAAAAAGCCAAAAAACAAAAAAATACATTACAACACATGCACAAAACTACATATAAACACAAATACACACATATATACATATACACAAATATATACACACACAAAACACATATATACAGACTGGGCCACAGCAATGCATGGCATGGGATGGCTAGTCTACCATAAGATGAAAAGACCAATGTTTCAGTATGTTGTTTCTACTAACCAAAGGCTTTGTTTTGTTTTTTTAATGTTGTCTTCTCCCATATCTGTTAGTGGTAGCTAATACTGGGATTTGAATTATGACCAGTTAGGATCATAACCTATTGGGTAGCAGAATTTTGGAAATGTTCCTTTAGTTTATTGGGTAATGAATGATCACTGGGTACGTAAATATCTTGTTTCTATTCAATGCTCTCAGCAGACAAAGATTCAAGTAGACTTCTTTTTAAAATAACAGGTTTGTTTCACAACTACATGTAGTTAAATAAAGAGGCACATTTCATGTCAGGTTAAACTTTAAAATGTTTCAGTTTGTATCTTTAACTTATAGTCTTTATCAGTCTCTTCAAAACTATATTGCTCTGTACAGCTTTCTTTCATATCAGTCTACTTCCAAGGGACTCAAGCTTCAACAGTTTTCTAACTCCCAACACTGACTTCTGGACTCAAACTGACTCAAGCCTCAACTGTCATTCCTCAACTGTCATCCTTTTAAACTGCATTCTAAACTGACACTGAACCAGTCACATGGTCTGCAGCCCCTCCCACTGCCTCACATATATAGAGCTAAGAAAACTGCAAACTAAGAAGACATACACTTCAGGAAATAAATGACACATTATAAACAGACAAAACATTAAATAGAGGAGGCTTGAGAAGGTTTCTGTTTCCAACAGCTAATGCACTTGTTTCTCTACGTGGGAGGGTAAAATTAACAAGTGAAGTGATCTAACAGCACAGGTATGTATATATAGTGAAAAAAACAAATATTGTTTACTACTGTAAACACTGATTCTAAATGGTTCTAAAGTATATAAACATCAGTTTAATGCAACTAAACCATCAAAACAACATAAATCACTTAGTAGTAGCTATCAAAGTAAAAGGGCAACATTAACACCTATGTAGAAATGGTGTAATCGTTTGAGTGTTCAACTACAACTCTGGAAACCAGTGTTTTAATCCCAGCTCGGCCATGGAAGCCCACTGGGGGACCTTGGGCAAGTCACACTCTCTCAGCCTCTAAACAAATCTTACAAAGAAACCCCTGTGAAAGGTTTGCCTTAGGGTTGGCATAAATCAGAAATCATGTGAAGGTGCATAACAAAAATGAAAAGGCAGGATAAATGTTTTACACAAATTAATATGCCCCATGTTATTAGCCAGTCTGTATTTGTACCCTTCATTCAAGATTATTTCATGTAGGCAGAGCAGTGACAGCTAGAAACCTTGTCTATATGGCTTTATCTCCTTATATCTACTGTTACCAAAGTTTGGTAAAATACTCTTTCTGGATTATGGAGGTTAAAGGATTCTGAAAGCTGTTGTCTAAAAAGAAATATTGCCAAGTCATATACTATCTGTAATAGTAAAGGCCTGCATATTCTCCAACTGTCCCAGTTTGGCAGGTCCAAGTAAGTCTTCTGTCATCCCACCTTTTCACTCAGTTTTCAGTTTTCTCTCACACATGTTCCCTTTGTCCTCAGCTTACCTCAGTGGCTGCAAATTAAGTTCAGTGTGCAAAAGTAGTTTACACTCAGTTAGTTCAGAAGGGAGGAGAGGAACCATGCCTTTCCTGTAGACTTGGGCACTAACAGTCTCTCCTTAATAACATTTGTTATCTTGACCACATTCTGATGTTGCTTGGCCAACCATGGCACTGTTTTCATTGTGAAATGTTGGAGGGCGTGGGTCTGCAGAAAGTTGCATTGCTAGTGTTGAAATATGTCATGACTGTTCCATGTGGTGAGTTTCTTTGGTGACAGCATTGAGCTACCAAATGCCACACCACAGGCTGAAAACATGATTTGGTGTTTCCAATAAAAAGCCTGGAAATCACACTAAGCAGGGATCTGAGCTTCAAATGATTCCTTATTCTACTTCCAATGCCTTATGTTTTTCCAGCACTATATGCCATTGCAGACTCTGTACACCAAGGTCATGGAACATGACATAAGGGCAGGAAACGTAGCCCTTGAGACAGCTTCGGTTTTGCATCTGAAAGAGTATTATGAGGTACGACGTTTTCTGTGCTATATCAGAATAACAGTCATAGATGAGCCAGAATCATAGCACTAAAATGATTCCTTCTCAAGCAATTTACGCACCTTAGATGTCTTTATTTTAAGAAGATAATAGGCCCGGGGAGGGAAAATAGTAGAAACCACAGATATAGCTTCTTGAATTCTTCCCCCTCTACATCTTCATTTTGTTTTAAGGATGAGGTCATTTTGTAAATATTAGACAAAGCTGCTTGAGATCTCACTTTCTTCCTTATGTCTCTCCTTTGCCCCGATCCCTGCAGCCCCTTTGGGCCAAGAGGAATGAAATTGAGAAATGGCGGAAGGAATTCAAAGACCAGTGGCAAAAGGAGCAGAAAAGAATGGTAAGATCCTAAGAAGGAAGGGCTAGAAACTAAGCAAAGGAGTTAATATCACTGTAGTCATCTATCAAGTTTTCATGGGCTTTGTAAATACACCGTTTCTTAAGAATTTCCTTGGCAAGGCCTCATGAAATTGGTGTAAAAGGATGGGATCAAGTAGAAAGGGACTAAGGACTTGCATGCAAATATCAATTTGTGCTGTAACCCTTATTTCCAAACGACATTACATACCTTCAACTTTTTTAAAAATCCCACATTTTTGTCAATGACTACAGCCATACATAATTACAGGAATATTCCCAGACTTTCCCCTGAATAGCTCATGTTTATTAAAAGACACACACACACACAGAGTCTCTAGCCCCCTTTATTGTTTTCTGACCATGGAAAAGGGGAGGCAGCATTTTATCCAGTGCTGCCAATGTGTAATAACAATAATAATAATAACAACAACAACAATTAAAAAAACAAAGTATGTATTGTCGATGTTACAATCCCAGGTAACAGCAGGATTGAAGAGAAACAACTGGAAAAGCTGACACGATATGAGGATTTAAAGATCGAACTACAAAGACTGTGGCACAAGCCGGTTAAGGTGGTCCCAGTGGTAATCGGCACACTGGGTGCAGTGCCTAAAGACCTTGGCCTGCACTTAAACACAATCGGCACTGACAAAATTACCATCTGCCAACTGCAGAAGGCCACAATACTGGGATCTGCATGCATTATTTGCCGATACATCACACAATCCTAGACACTTGGGAAGTGTCCGATGTGTGATCTAATACAACAGCCAGCAGAGTGATCTTGTTTGCCGTGGACTCATCTTGTTGTGTTTCTAATAATAATAATAACAACAACAACAACAACAACAACAACAACAACTTTATTTCTAGACCACCCTCTCTCCCCAAAGGGACTCAGGGCAAACATTCAATGCCTCAAAATAGGTGGAAACACATCAAATAATACAAAATAAATGTACCATCCTTTGCCCTTGCTAGACACCAGGATGACAGATGAACATGTAAATTAAATAAGTGACAATATTTATATTTTTAAAGGGACAGTTTTAATAGATGTCATTTGTTTTTAAGGCATTGACCTGTTTCCACTCTGTTGTATTTTAATCTGTTGTTTTCCACCTTGATTCATAAGAAGAATGAGCAAGAAATAATAATAACACTAGCAATAATAACAGTTACTATTGTTGTTATACATATCTACTTCATTGTTTGATTGTGTTTAATGACTTCTCCCTGCTCCTCCTTTAGGGAGGTGTCACAAAGAAATATCTAAAGTGTAATTAGAGACCTGTATTGCATTGATTGCGCAATCACATTTTCTTGTAGTGTGAATGAATGAAACTAGGGGGCCCTTCCTCACAGCCATATAACCCGGAATATCAAGGCAGAAAATCCCACAATATCTGTTTTGAACTGGGTTATCTGAGTCCACATTGCTATATATCCCAGTTCAAAGCAGATAATGGGGTTTTTTTATTCAGCTGTGTAGAAGGGGCCTAGATGTAGCTGGCTAAAGACATGCCCAGAACGTAACTGTAGCCCCATCTAGACTTCCCTTATGCTGAACTGCATTCTATGGCAATTGACTCATATAATGCAGTTTTATGCGGTTAAACTGCATTATGGAACTGCATTTTTTGCAGTGTAGATCACTGCTTCTTCAGTTGTGGGTCCTGACCCCAAATCAGGTCCCCTTAACCCAATATTGGGGCCGCAAAACATTTGGCAACAGTAATACGTTTCTGAATACCATTCATTTGCACAAATGTGTTAGCAACAATGTGCAGCATTTACAGTGGACTCTGTGGAAAATACTTTGAATGTACTCCACAACAAAGGAAAAGGCTGATTTATTATCAATAAATGTTTGATATTTATGCCTTTTTAATATACCTGGGGTCAAGTACAAATTAATTTGGCTGAAAGGGGTTGTGACTGGAAAAATAAGCCCATGAGAGTGGCTGGATGCACAGTGGCCCCATTGAGAAGCTTTGAGTGGAGGTCAACCTCTTTGCATTGCTTTCTATGTAAACTTCTGCCTTCATGTATCTGCCGTACCCCTACCAAATAAATCCAAAAACATTACCACTAGATCACATAGTGTTCTTCTGTCCCACTGCTCAGAGCTTTTTTTATGAGTTGTCTAGCCAGGGTGAACTAAAAGCAAAATGGAAGGAATCCACACTTCTTCTGATCTAGCAAACAGTTTTATTTCCATCCCACAGAGTCCTGGGTTTGACAGGCGAGGGAGGGACCTTTTGGATCTTCAGACATAAGATTTCTTCTAGTGTTTCTAAACAAGCTGCCAACCACAGGATTTCATATAAGGTTGCCATGCAAAATAAAGTGGGTGCATAACTGTTTAGTGTGAAAGGGCTACTGGCCCACTCAGTGTGTTGGAAGGCATTCATATTTGTCACCCAAACAAACCTGATCCTATTTTTATCTATTGAATCCATGTGAACTTTCTCCCTATATAGAATTCAAGGCAGTTTAAAATAATTTAAAAATATAAAGCCTTGCTTGGAAGAATGTCACATGGTCAACCCATTTTGAAGGCTAAGCAACTATGTTATTTTCCCCAAGGAACACAAAGATAGTTCCATTTTCACTTTAGCACCTATTGTAATCAAAATAAGACTATGCTAGAGACACACATCTAAGCTCAAGGCTAACAAAGAGTGTGTCTACACCGCAGAATTAACTCTGTTTGACAGTACTTTAGCTGCCATAGTTCAGTGCTATGGAATCAAGGCAGGCATAGTTTTATTAACTCTGTCAAAGAGTGAGAGTGCCTCACCAAACTACAGTACACTTAGCTATGGCAATTAAAGTGGAGTCAAACTTCATTAACCCTACAATGTAAATGTATCCAAATCCATTCAGAACCACAGCTTTTGGAAAATGGCATTCATCACCTTTTTGAGAAGAAAAATGATGTTATATCCTTTTGGCAAGTATGAAATTCCATTAACATCTGGAGACCACCTTTTGAAAACCACTAGTCAAGGAAAGGCATGACCTGGTTAGAAGTCAACCCTTTGAAAAAGTGATGTTCATAATCATCCATGTAATCCTGGACTCATCGCTGAGCCTGGAGCCTCAGGTTTCGGCGGTGACCAGGGGAGCATTCACACAGCTAAAACTCGTGCGCCAACTGCGCCCGTACCTTGGGAAGTCTGACTTGGCCACGGTAGTCCACGCTCTGGTTACATCCCGTCTAGACTACTGCAACGCTCTCTACGTGGGGTTGCCTTTGAAGACGGCTCGGAAGCTTCAATTAGTCCAACGGTCGGCAGCCATGATACTAACAGGAGCGGAGCGCAGGGAGCATACAACTCCTCTGCTGCACCAGCTCCACTGGCTGCCGATTTGCTACCGGGCTCAATTCAAAGTGCTGGCGTTGGCCTTTAAAGCCCTAAACGGTTCTGGCCCAACCTACCTATCCGAACGTATCTCGGCCTATCAGCCCACCAGGACCCTAAGATCTTCTGGGGAGGCCTTGCTCTCTATCCCGCCTGCTTCACAGGTGCGGCTGGCGGGGACGAGAGACAGGGCCTTTTCCGTGGTGGCCCCTCGGCTCTGGAACGCCCTTCCCATGGAGGTAAGATCAGCCCCCTCGCTGATGGTATTCCGAAGACGATTGAAAACCTGGATGTTCGAACAGGCATTTGGTTAATTCGGTGCAATGAATGTGATGATTAAGGATTGGTAATATGGATGATGAAACTGGACCACGATTTTAGTCAGGTTATGCATTGGATTGTGATTTTTGTGCTAATATTGTGTATTATGTTTTTTATGGTTTTAAATTGTATACTGTGGATTGTGTATTCTGTATTCCGTTGTAAACCGCGTTGAGTCGCCATTTAGGCTGAGAAATTGCGGTATACAAGCACAGTAAATAAATAAATAAATAATTGCACACAGGTAACTCAGCAGTTAAACTGATAAACTGTGTCTTTGAACTGCCAGGGACAAAGACACGACACTGCACAAAAACATATACTTAGCTAGCAGAGTAAATGTTTCTTTGAAGTTGAAGTTGAAATTGTAGTTGCTCAAAAACATATGTTCTCCCTTGAAATCTCTTATCTTAAAATAAAAAAATCAGAGATTTTTTAAAAAATGCATAAGTCCAAATGCATACTGCTTCCTTTGAAGTACAAAAGCATACTGATAATAAAATGGAATCTTGACTCTGAACATGCTCAGTACAATCACATGTCTGTATCCCTTCCCACACCAAAGCGGTCAGTCAAACTGGCAAATCAATATATACATACAATATAGGTTAGCAAATATATACATTAACAAACAAATAGTGAAAGCTTGGAAGGTTGCTATTTAAAAAAAACAGGTGGTCAGCTTGCCCCTTGTTCTCGTTGCAGAATGATTCCTTGTCCTCCATGCGCAAGTCCCGCCTCCATTATCTCCAGCGCTGTGAGGATCTGGAGAAGGCCAAAGTGCTGAGCGCCAAGGCAGAAGAGGAATGCCAGGGCATGGCAAGCAGTGGCAACAAACAGCTGGAGAAACGGCGCCGCTACCGAGATGAAGCACAATTAAAGGTAGTGGTCCTAAGTTCGAAAGCTGTGCAATTCAGTCCCCTGACGGTTGTAGTAATCCAGAATCTTGGATTTTGGAATGCAATTCCTGTGATCATAGGAAGACAACCAGTAATGTATAGGGAATAGAGCTTGGGAAATTATATTAAAAAGTAAAAGGTTGCTCTTTTAGTTTAACCCCTTTTCCCCAAAGTACTTAATTTTAATTATAGTTGTAATTTTTAAAAGGCCACAGATTCCCTATTTCTTAGGACTCACTAAAATAGTTATGAGCAACTGTTTTTTTAGAGTCTGGATGCTACAAGTGGTTGTCTGGTGGCACAAAACACAGCCTCCTTCTGTCTACCGCAGTGCAACTTAAGCTCCCACAACAAAGCTGAAGGCACAACACAAGTTAGTCATTGGACCATTGTATCAAATAAAAACACATTTTGAAATAAACAAAAGAATTACAGTTAAGCTGCAAAAAGTGTGAAATTATCCCACATTAAGTTAAATTAATGATGCCTCAGTTATTACTAAGTGAAATTAATTACAGCCAGTTAATTTTGTTATTAGTCAAGCCTAGAACACTGCTACCGGATGCTTAAATACCAGAGATGGGTTGGACAAAATGTCAGGTTTTTGAAAGTCTTCAGGCAACTTTTTCTGACAAGAGCCATGTAACTGAGGTCAGTGGATGCCGATCTAGGTGATCAAAGGGAATGTGCCTTAAAAGGACATTCTGAAGGCCTTTGTGTTGTCACAGAAGACCTCATAATGCATTCCCATGAGCCTGGCAAGGATATGTTGGGCCAGATCCTGTCTGCATCAAGTGAAAAACATGTTCTTGGCACAAGGCAGGTGAGAACACCTTGTCTGGGCCCTAGCAGGTAGCAAGAACCAGCATGTTTGGCTGATTTGTGTGTTGGGCTCGAATCCCCATTTGGCCACAGAAATACACTGGGTGACCTTGGATAAATCACACTCTCACAGCCACAAGGGAAGGCCATGGTAACACCTCTTCTGAACAAATCTTGCCAAGAGATCTCTGTGATAAGATTGCCTTAGGGCAATGGTTCTCAACCTGTGGGTTCCCTAGATGTTTTAGCTTTCAACTCCCAGAACTCCTAACAGCTGGTAAACTGGCTGGGATTTCTGGGAGATGTAGGCCAAAACAACTGGGGACCCACAGGTCTAGAACCACTGCCTTAGGGTCACCATAATTTGGAAATTACTTGAAGGCACACAACAAGTGCTGGAGGGGTGTCCAGCAGTACCCACAGAGTAAAGCTTTCAATAAGCGGAAGCGGAGGTGACTCAGCACACGTCACTGTGCCATGGATTAGATTTCCTTTCTATGCAATGCTCTTGGCTTTTCACTCATTTTCAGTTGTTGCAACAGAGGAAGCAACTCTCCAACCCAATCCACACAGCCACATAATGTGGGATAGGAAACAGATTAGCCTGAGGCACCACCACCACCACCAACAACAATAATCTTTATTTATATCCCGCCACCATCTCCCAAAAGGGACTCAGGGCAGCTTACACTTCAGTGCAGTATATAAAACAAACGATACATATGGTAAGTATAAAACAATATCACATAAAATTGTAAAACAGCCACTATCAACGCATAAAATAAAAGAACGCAATTTAAAACACAGAACCATCTATAGTTAAACTAGCTGCCATCAATTCACAAACTAAAGTGCCAAAGTGTCAACCTCATATGAACTCATTTCAGCCTACTCAAGGCCAAAAGCCTGCTTAAAAATCCATGGAATAGACAACATTGAGATAACGTTTTAGGCTAATCTGTTTCAACCTGGAATAAACCTGATTGTACAGTTTTAAATATATATGCAAAGGTCCTTACTGCAAAATCTGGACCTTTGCAGGTATGGAGGCAGTGGGGATTTTCTCCATTCAGGATCCAAGCAGGCAATCCCTACAACCATTCCTCCTCCCCAGGCTCAGGCAGCCTATGGAAGAGGGTTGGCAATACCAGACTCCTGTTTTCTCCCAACATTTATCATTTAAAAATAAAGGAAAAAAAATCGCCCTGGGAGTCACATGCCTTCCTGGGGCTGGAAAATGGAATTAAAAAGCTTTGGAAGGGAGATTCATTTTGTTTTTAAAGACAAGTGGGGTATGGAGGGGAAAGGGGTACAATCCCCACGCCCATTTCTGCCAATCATGAATCCACACAGGTGAGTAATCTGGTCACCCCCCCAGCCAAAAAGGCACATTTTCAGCATTTGGGCCAGTGTCAGTGGACTCTTATCAGCTACCAGCAGAGATATTCTAAGAGGATATCAAGGACTTCTACTCAGCTCCCTTAAATGCTCTTTCCTGAGGAAAATCATAATGCAAAGAGCAGAATGAATTAGTGCAAAATTGAACAGGAAAATTGGAGCAGGGCTTTATTGTTTGTTTCCTCCAAACAAACAATATAGGCTGATGCCCAGTGGGAAGCATCAGCAGGGAGCATTGTCCTCCCGTCCCAAAGTGTCAGAAAATCAACTGGGAGAACAAAATTGTTATTTGGATATTTTTAAAAGCCCAAGAACAAGAGCCTCCTAATTCATCTGCTTTATATGTAGGAACCCAAACTGATAAACTTTTTTCTTCATGTCAGGAGTGACTTGAGAAACTGAAAGTCGCTTCTGGTGTGAGAGAATTGTCCGTCTGCAAGGATGTTGCCCAGGGGATGCCCAGATGTGTTACCATCCTATAGGAGGCTTCTTTCATGTCCCCACATGGGAAGCTGGAGCTGACAAATGGGAGCTCACACTGTATCGCAGATTCGAACCGCCGACCTTCAGGTCAGCAGTCCAGCTGGCACAAGGGTTCAACTCATTGCGCCACCGCAGGTCAATTGATAAACTAAATGTTTTAAATTCAAATTTGGATTGTATGAATAACTTCATTTTGATTCCATGCAGAATAGATCTGATTTTGGGTATGCTTCTGGGAGAAGGGAGAGTCTTGCAAGACTCTTCATTGGACATGTCTGCCACACTTGAATGCCTTGCGTTCTTCTATCTACATGCCAACTGCACATTTTCAGTTCTTCCATGTGTCTGTTTCACTGCATTCAGGTCCAGGAATCAGAGGTTGTGTACAAGGGATGCGTCTTTGATGCCAATAACCGACGTCAACGGCTGGAGAAAGTGAGGGAGAGAATTATCTCTCACATCCGCAAACTGATGTTCCAGGGAGATGAGGTGCTGACACGGGTAAGTAGTGAGTGATCCGTGGTTAGACATGCCTCGGTGCTTGTGGCTTGGGGCCTGAATAGGATGGGTAGGAGAGTAGCTGACCTCAAAATATCAGGGTGTCATTCCTGCTCCCCTTCTTCTCTGCACAAGGCTCCCTAAGTAGCTCTGCCTCTCTCTCCATTCTTAAGTGATTTTTTTTTTTCTGGGAGGAAAAAAACAATTGGAAAAAATAGTGCCATAGTAAATGTGTTAGTCTTCATAGTATCTCAAGACTCTTGTTTTTGTATAACAGAGTAATATGTTAGTATCAGGGTTGTCCATTTCTCTCAACATTGCTACTAATTTTAAGGATTTATATGTATCTCATTGTTGCCACCAACTGTATAGACCCCCTCGTGGCACAGTGGGTTAAACCACTGAGCTGCTGAACTTGCTGAACAAAAGGTTGGTGACCCGAATCCAGGGAGCAGGGTGAGTTCCTGCTGTTAGGCCCAGCTTCTGCCAACCTAACAGTTCGAAAACACGCAAATGTGAGTGATCAATAGGCACCGCTTCTGCAGGAAGGTAATGGTGCTCCATGCAGTCATGCTGGCCACATGACCTTGGAGGCATCTACAGATAATGCCGGCTCTTCGGCTTAAAAATGAAAATGAGCACAAACATTCCAGTCGGACTCGACTAGACTTAATACCAGGGGAAACTTTTACCTTTATCTTTACCTGCCACCAACTGTAAGAGTTGTTCATCTGTCCCATCACTTCTTCCAGATATGATCCAAATATCTCTCACCTAATGTGGGGACCTTTTAGTTGCCCTCATAACTTCTGTGCAAGACATTATTTATCTAATCCTGTAGTTCACAACCATTGACCCTCCAGGTGTTTTGGACTTTGGCTACCACAGTTCCTAACAGCTGGTAAGATGGCTGAGATTTCCAGGAGTTGAAGTCCAAAACAACTGGAGGACCAAAGGTTGGAAACCACTGGTCTAATCCCATCACTGGATGCCACTATCCTTGAACCACTGCTACCACCAACAACAATACCACAATGTTTTGGAACATGTCCACACTCATCACTCTATTTTAATGTTCTCAGAAGCAAAAATGTTCTCAGAGTACAAAAATCAATTTGTTAAACAAAAGTAAAAGATTACTTATTTAAGGGCCCATCTTGATGTAGTGGAGGACCACAAAAGTTTCTTGTTTTGTTCCTGCTCTTTTCTGTTTTTGGTTTTTCTTTTGTTGTTTTACTTTTAGATCTACATCTTGTTTTCCTCACTCTGAAGTATTCTCAGGGAACGCCCAGCACTTCCAAGGTCTGCTTGTTCCCATCTGGGAAATTAAACCGTGATATCCCAAAATGAAATGTGTTGCTGTTATCCCAGTGCTAGTTAATACAGCTGCTGCTATGAAAAATAGCAATTGTTCCCTGGACATTAGATTCAGCAGAGATCAAGGAAGGCAAAGGGGAATGCTGGCAATGGAAGATAATGATGCAGATGCTTAACTAGTGTAATATTGCTAAAGAATGTTAATTCCTGAATAAGAATTAAGAAAGCAATTTCTGAAACATTAACCAATGTTCAAACCCTGGTCTCTAGAATTGTAGTTCATGAGTCAAACTGGCTCTCTATACTTCACATACGTAACCATATTTTAACTTAATTATTTTAGTAATTACAATATACTTTCCCCCTAATAGCTTATGGTTCACCCTTCACCCTTACAGTCATTGGCCACTGAGACAATGCTCTTTGACTGTTCAAAGCCTTTACTTCATTATCTCAGTGGTCTTCAACAGGAACTCTATAGCATAGATTGTTGTCATTGTCAAGCTGATCTGCTCATGATTGAAGTAAGTTTCGGAGCTGGCATTCCCTGGGAGCTTACCCTGTTTTACTAGTCGAGTAAATTTCAGAGGGATCTGAAAAGTACAAGTCTGAACTTTGCCAGTTACAAGAAGGCATTCAGTTTCTTCATGCTTCCTGGGTTTGTTTCCCAAGGTGACACTGAGGATGTTCAAGCTCCAGCAGGTCCAAGCAGAACGAATCCCTGTTGGATACCAGAACCTGACTGAGTTCTGCAAGCCTTACAAGGTTGGGGAGAAATATCTGGAATTCATTCAGAAGCTGCAGAGGAAAGAACTACCAGTGGAGATCTACGAATTTGAGGAATTTATACCTTCAGGGCAAAGGTAAGGAAGCAACACTTGCATTTTTACCTGCCTTCCCTCTAAGCAATGTTATACTTTTGAATTGCGATCAAAGGCAATTGTATCATTGGTGAGATTTGTTCAGAAGAAGCTTGTCATTGCCTATATACTTCAGTCCTATCCAGAACTTGGAAAAGTTCCAGGATTTTCCCATCAGCAGGTCACCAGCCATGTTTCAATGGGGATTCTGAGAGTTGTGGTCCAAAAAACATTTCCAAGTCTGGTCCTGAATCACAATCTCTCTTTCGCTTGTCTTAATTTCACATTGACTACTGAAGCACGGAACTGTATGACTTCAGCAGGGAAGAGTGGGGAAACTTTTGAGTAGTAGCATTGGCTTCACCTTTCTGGATTAAGCACATAGGCCCATTCTGGTGTGTGCTAGCATGCAATAATCTGCAATCTTTTCAGACCTGGACCCCACCAGTAACTCCCAAAACACACTTTGAGGCCTTTCCTAGTTCCCACCCCCCCACCCCACCTCGATATTTGTACATGAGAGTATTGATGTTGCAACCCTAGTGGGTCAAGTAGTGATCCAATAGATCGCCTTACTTCTCCAGTTGAAATACAAAGCTCTACAGCCATGTTCAATACCAACCATATGGATTCACTTCAAGTGTGCCTTTGGTTGGCTCACGGTTGCTAATCCATCATCTCTCCACATGGTCTAACTGTTTTGACATGCAGAATATCCCTGCTACTCACTGGGGTGCAGAACAGCTGGATAGCCAAAACATTTCACAAATATGCCAGATACATGAAAAGGGGAGCTCAATCTTTACTGCTGACCTAAGGTCCATATTATGTCATTTGGAATGGTGACAAAGCCTCATTAAAGTCAAATAATAGTCCTATCCCCAATGCCTTCCTCTGTCAAAATTTAGCCTTGTATGAATTGGCTGCTTTGGAGAATTATACATGTTGAAATTAGAATAAATTGTCCAATTATAAAATTAAGCTGCTTCACTATGGATTTACTACTGATGTTTCCAAGACTCGAAGAGCAAAACTTTGAGTTGTTTAGAAATTAGATTTGGCAGATTTTTCCTTTCCCCTAGCCATTTTAAGTAATCCCTACAATTCTAAAACATAAATCAAGCAAACCCAACTAAGGGAAAATATTTGTGGAGGTGTGATCAAGTATTGGAGAGATTCTGTGTGAAGGGCTGTATACTTTCCCCTCTTGTCTAGTGAATGATTACACATTCCTCCTTACCTCCTCTATGTATATTATGATACCATAGAGATGCTTTTCACCTATGCTTAATGAAAACAGCATACAGTCCTCCCTCTACATGCTGGTTAAATATTCACGGGTTTGATTATTTGAGGATCACTGTATTCGCCTCCATCTCCACTGCTGCCCTATATGGGATACTATGATGAACTTCCAGCAGAGGGTGACTGTAGAATCATGCCAAAGGCCCTAGAAATGTTCTCTCACATTAGAAAATACCTAGGCCTGTATTTGTGGGTTTTCCACTTCTGCAGAGATCCTGTACCTTTACTCAGCAAAAGTTGAGGGCCGACTGTATAAGTAATAGAATCTTATAATCCTAGAGTCATTCATGGAATCCACTTTTTTTTCCATGTCAGAAGCGACTTGAGAAACTGCAAGTCATTTCTGGTGTGAGAGAATTGGTTGTCTGCAAGGACATTGCCCAGGGGACGCCCAGATGTTATACCATCCTGTAGGAGGCTTTTCTCATGTCCCTGCATGAGAAGCTGGAGCTGACAGACAGGGGCTCACCCTGCTCCCTGTATTCGAACCGCGGACCTTTCAGTCAGCAGTCCTGCTGGCACAGAGGTTTAACCCGTTGTTGAAGGCTGACTGTATAAATCATAGAATCTTATAATCCTAGAGTCATTCATGGAATCCAATATTAAACTTTGCCCTGAAGCGTTCCATCCTCACCATGGAAATCATCTGGCTACCAGAATGAAATACAGGATTGTAGAGTTGGAAGAGATCACAAGGGCCATCAAGGCCAACCCCCTGTCATGCAGGAAGGCACAGTCATGGCACCCTGACAGATAGCCATCCAGCCTCTGCTTTAAAACCTCCAGAAAAGGGGACTCCTCTATCCTCCAAAGCAGCATATTCAGCTGCTGACCAGCTGTTGCCATCAGGAAATTCTTCCAGTGTTCAGGTAGAATATTTTTTCCTGCAATTTCAGTCAATTGCTCTGTGTCCTAATCTCCTGAATAGCAGAAAACTAGCTTGCCTCCTCCTCAAGATGACATCCCTTCAAATATTTAAACATGGCTATCATGCCCCCTTCTCTGCCTGCTTTTCTCCAAGTTAAACATACCAGAACTTAAAAGAGTTCTTTAAGGGCATAAAGGACATTTCTAAACATCTACTTCGCAAACCCTAGATCTTGAAGTCAAACAGGAAGTACATCATAGACATTTAATTTCAAAAAGCCACCATGGATTTAAGTCTTAGAACATCTTGAACAAACTGACAAATCAAATTTTAACAGTGTTATAAAGAGTGATGAGTAATCAGCAATAAGGGGTATCAGATGCCAAAGAGAGAGTCAAGAAAACTGCCAAAGACAACAGGAAGTAAAGTAGTTGGGGATCCTTTGCTCAGGGGTATAGGGAACCTTGTGTGTCAGCCTGACATGATGGATCAGGAAGTGTGCTGGTACACGTATCTAGGAGTCATTGACAATTTGCCGAAACTCATCAAGAGCACAGATCAGAGCCCCCTTCTCCTTATTCACCAATTACACTACCAAGAGCACCTTTGAGGGCACCTTTAAAGAAAGCTAAAGCTCAGGATGTGCTAAGACTCGCTAAACAAGCAAGACGTAAGAGAAAGAACTGTTTCATTTAAGGCATGAGAATGGCCAAGGAGACGGTGGCTGTGGTTCAGTAAGGATGATAAAATGCTAACAGAGGGTAATGAAAGGGTACACATACCTAGTATCTATTTTGCTTCGTTTTCCTCCCTGAAAAAGGACTGTGTGCTTCCATTCAGCAGCAGAGACCTTGGCAAAGGATCTGGACTGCAAATCAAGATTGATAGAGAGTTAGTCAAGAATCACAGAGCTAACCTAAATGAGTTCAATCTACAGGGCCAGATGCACTGTATCCTGGAGTATTGAAGGAGCTTGCTAATGTACTTTGTGAACCCTTTGCCATCATTTCCGAGAAATCTTGGAGAACAAGTGAGGGTACCAGAGCCTCTTTCTTCCAAAACAGATCTGAAAAACGACAGAAAAGTCAGCCTGACCTCAATACCAATTACATTAGAACGGATTTTACAGCAGTCTGCAAATATCTTGATAACAGCATAGTGATCAATAGGAGCCAACATGGGTCTGTCAGGAACAAATACTACTAAACTAATCATATATCGTATTTTCAAAGGCTTTCATGGCCGGAATCACTGTGTTGTTGTAAGTTTTTTGGGTTGTATGGCCATGTTCCAGAATCACTCTCTCCTGACATTTTTCCCACATCTATGGCAGGCATCCTCAGAGGTTGCAGGCGAAAGATCAGGAGAGAATGCTTCTGGAACATGGCCATACACCCCGAAAAACGTACAACAACCTAATCTTATATGAGTTTTCAATCAATTTACTAGTTTAACTGATGGTGAGAATGCTATGGATATAATTTATCTGGATTACAGCACATTATTTGGTAATATCTCCTATAATGTTTTGAGTTCAAAACTGATAAATAAGGAATAGATGGGAACACTGTCAGGTCCCATCTACACAGACCTAAACTCTGTAATTTTTTTTCTGGATTAGCCTGAGGCACGCAACAAGTCAACAAGACAAGATTTTTTTCTCCCACCCTGGACATTCCACAGATATATAAACCCCACTTACCTGGTTTCCAACAGACCTCACAACCTCTGAGGATGCCTGCCATAGATGTGGGTGAAATGTCAGAAGAGAATGCTTCTTGAACATGGCCATACAGCACGGAAAACTCACAGCAATCTAGTGATTCCGTCCATGAAAGCCTTCAACAACACATGGATCCATAACTATTTGGAAAGGTGTACTCAAGAAATGGCTAAGCTTCAGTACAACAAATATGGGGCACTTGTGTCTCTCCAGATGTTCTTTAGCTGCATCTTCCACTAGCTTGAACCAGCAAATGGTAATGGTATGAAAGAATCACAGTCCCCACCAGGGAAGTAGTATGCTCCAGATGTGAGCAGTCTTGTTTCAAAAGACAAACTTTGTTACCGGAATTAAAAAAATATATAGTCAAAGGCTTTCATGGTCAGAATAATTGGGTTGTAGTTTTTTCAGGTTATATGGCCATGTTCCAGAAGCATTCTCTCCTGATGTTTTGCAGGCAAAATATCAGGAAAGAATGCTTCTAGAACATGGCAATATATATAGCCTGAACAACCCTATCTATCTATCTATCTATCTATCTATCTATCTATCTATCTATCTATCTATCTATCCATCCATCCATCCATCCATCCATCCATCCATCTATTTACGCAAAAACACTTTTTTGTTTTGGTTTTTAAAAAGTAAACAAACAAAAGTTTGCTGCAATAACAATGTGATCTTTTGCGCAGGTATTCTCTTTCAACAACTTGCATTTGAATGAATTCAATCTGATTTTTCTGAAAGGAAATTGAGCTTTCTCTTCCTCTTGGAAACCATAATGGGTCCATTGCTTCTGCAGGTCACCTACCAATGCTAAAAGAAAGAATGCCGCTCAGTATATGCGTATCTCATCCTCTACCGTTGACCTCAACAGCTCCTTAGAAGAAGCTTCTGGAAAGACATCTTCCTCCAGTAGTGAGCAAAGTAAGTTAAATGAGAAGGGAAGTTAATTTTCTGCCTTATCTTTTAGGTTTATGATCCTTGCTATAGACTTCTTAGATCAATGAACAGTTCAAACTAAGATAGAAGTGGAGAGGTGGGCTAGGCAAGCACAAGTGATGCACCACACAGTCTACATCATCATGATCATATATTTTTAATTTATAACCACCTCTCCTTTCATCTTGAGCTGGGGCACAACATAGCCAAACATGTCAATGAAATCACATTTTAAAACATAGATAAAATGCAACCATAACATACACATATTAAAACACCCAAGACAAAAGTTAATTTTTCCTCAATGACTGGTATGAAGTGTGTCACATGTCCTTTGTACCTCTAATTCAGGGATGGCCAATTTCAGCATTATGAGAGGCCATAATCCAAAACTCAGTCTAAGTAATCATGCTTTGCAGTAAAAATGGCCCATCTTGTGGCCATTTTTGTGGTGACTTAGTAAAATATGCATAATTCAAAAGAAGGATGCATTTTAATAATATAGAAAAGAGATGGTCTTTTAAAATCATTAAATGTTTTGGCATTTGAATTTCTTGTTGCTGTTGTTTTACCTTCAAGTTGTTTCCAGCTTGTTGAATTAAATGACTAATATATTTTTGTATGATACATTTGGGTCTCTGAGGATGCTAAGTAAGGATGACTGGAATGCTTGGGTTTAGACACATCGTGTCTATGGTGGCCACAATTATTCACTGGTAGTGGAATCCAGTGATGGGATTAGGCAGAAACAGTCTCACAAGCATCTAGAAACTCCTCATGTTTGATGTTCTAGTGCCGTAGTTCTCAACTTGTGGGTCCCCAGGTGTTTTGGCCTACAACTCCCAGAAATCCCAGCCAGTTTACCAACTGTTAGGATTTCTGGGAGTTGAAGGCCAAAACATCTGGGGACCCACAGGTTGAGAAACACAGTTCTAGTAGTAGAATAGGGGGAGATCTTCCCACTTGCTGATGATGGCAGGATATGTTGGTGACGACTACAAACCCTCTAGCTCTAGCCAGGCCCGTAGCCAAGATTTCGTTTTGGGGGGGGGGCTGAGTTTTTTTCAGGGGGGTTCGGGGGGGCTGAGTTTTGGGGGGGCTGAGTCTGAGTGAAAGAGGGTCTACCCTAGCAAACCTTTTGTATCATTACCCCAATACCCCCATGCATATGGGATATATTGAGTATGGTGATCAGATCATGATATGAATAAACATAACAGTTTAAATAATGCACCAGTAAGGCCTTTTCGCGAACCACCATGAGAATTTGGGGGGGGGGGCTGAAGCCCCTCAAGCCCCCCCCCCCCCCCCCCCCCCCCCCGGCTACATGCCTGGCTCTAGCCCACTGGGCTTCCTTGGACCTCCTTGTCTTCTCACGCTTTGCCTGGAAATACTGATCAGATACTCTTGGTCTTTGCTTCCTGCCTGGATTTCTTTAGCCAGAGATTTGTCAGCCTGCCCTTTCCCAATATGTCATAGTCATGAGGATCCTTACGCCAACCTTCTCCACCACTACATTAGTACATTATGGATTTTTTTAAAAAAACAATTAAATTCTACCGAAGTCCTGTCTAATCCATTGGTGGCTGGTAGTTTCCATATCAGTGCAGCAAGGAATCTACTCTGGGTTTCGGTTCGGGCTTTAAAAGTGTAGTAGTTTGTATGCTGGACTCGGACTTTGGGAGACCAAGTTTCAAAGTTTTGTTTTGGCCATAGAAATTGGGTGATCTTGAGCAAGTCACATTTTCTTAGTCTTAAGGTAAAAAGGTAAAGGTTGTCCCCTGACATTAAGTCCAGTCATGTCTGACTCTGGGGTGTGGTGCTCATCTCCATTTCTAAGCCAAAGAGCCAGCGTTGTCCGTAGACACCTCCAAGGTCATGTGGCCGGCATGACTGCATGGAGCGCCGTTACCTTCCCGCTGGAGCGGTACCTATTGATCTACTCACATTTGCATGTTTTTGAACTGCGAGGTTGGCAGAAGCTAGGGCTGACATCGGAAGCTCACACCGCTCCCCGGAATCGAACCTGCTACCTTTCGATCAACAAGTTCAGCAGCTCAGTGCTTTAACCCACTGCGCCACCGGGGGCTCCTTTTCTTAGTCTTAGAGGAAGGCAATTACCACTTTGAATAAATCTTGCCAAAAAAAACCTCGACACAATAGTCGTAAGTCAGAAATGACTTGAAGGCAGGAAAGAATAATAAAGCCTCCAAATAGGTTCAGTAATGTGGATACCAACTACTTTCTGGACTATAACCCAGAGCATCTCACTAACATGGTTGTCACTGATCCCATCTTGCATGGCGTAGGAAAAGCAGCACAACTGACATATGAGCTGAAGCCAGAAGATTTCCATGAGTATCCTGAAATACCTTTGCTCTTACAGGAGTCAGACCTAAGTTTACTTCCCATGAATGCTCAGGCAGCCTTCCTGTGAAGAGAAGAATGCTTCCTCAAATAGTTAAGAAATTTATGCCTTTCCTTAGGATCATTCCAGTTGACCTATGCTAATTCAAAGTATATATTCTGCATAGAATTAAGAATCTTACTCTCTTCTTCAAAGACTAAAAGGGAGATTGAATGAGGAGTAATAGCTTAAAATGTGTAAAGTTTAACCTATAATTTAAAATTCCATTTCTGGGCTTCTATGTAATGTACATCATGTTAACATTAATTTTACTAAGAATCTGAACAGCTCTTGATATACTGCCCTCCACTCCTACACCCTCTTTTTCTTTCGACTAAAGATCTTTCATATCTGATGGTTCTTGGGAAGTTCGAGAAACCTCTGCCTACATTGCCTGAAGACGGATGGGTGATGGACTGTTTTGGTATGCTGGCCTGGGGGTAGATTTTCTACTCAATTAGAACAGGACACCTCCCAAATAAGATACTGCAGCTCAGTGCACTTAATTTATTTCAATCTAATAGAAGCTGGAGTGAATTCCCCGAAGTGGCGTCTGTCCTCACAGGCCAAAGTGAATGGTTTTCGTAATGCCAGCTGACCTATAAACCATCCAGTGGATGTCCTCCACTGCATTTAAGGATGATTCTGTCTTGTCTACCTTCCTGTTTTCTTATTGGGTTAAGATGTAACTTTTTCAGAGTGAATATATACAAACTAATTTCCCCTTTAAGTTATTTGCTGTGTTAGTCTAATTCTACTTCATTAGCTACGAATTGATACAAATGTAATGAGTGAGGACTACTGGTCTGGAGGCATTGCCAGGAGGACTTGAATTGGTAGTCTGGTGCCTCTTCTCTTTTCAGATAAGTGTGCATTTATGAGCCACACATATTCCCCTTTCACTCTGCTACCAAAAAGATATAAAAGAATCCAGTCGTACCTTTGAGATTAGCTACAATTTTAGCATAAGCTTTTGTGGACTCTGTCTATGTCATCAGCTGCCTGAAAGTTTATGCTATCAATTTATCCCTAGTTAGTTTCAGAGGCGCACCTTGTGCTCCTGTATGCCTTTTAATGCTAAAATGCAGCTATCTCTGAATTCCACTCATTTTAGAAATCATAAAAATAGTCAATAATGATTGCAAAACTGATCTACCAGGCCTTTTGCTGTCAGTGATCTCTTGAAAGCATAGCATCATTCTTTCTTTTTCTGTCTCTTCCCACCTTTGCTATTACTTCCTCTTGAGTCTGTAGTGTTAACAGCTTTTCTTCCCTCCTACCATTTGTGGAGAGGCCCTGAAGTGAGTTTGCCAAATATATTCAGACATCACCAGCATGGGGACGATGGAGGAGGAGTGTGCCAAGAGGTCCCACTAACTTCTGAATGCATGCATGGAAAAAGTAATGGGCTGGATTAGGAAACACTGATTCCAAATAAGATGAAAGTTCTAATCTGGGGTTAGTGAAGTCAATCAAAGCTTAATGCAGTTACACTCTTTTTGAAAGACTGTGTTTGAGGCTTAGGGTTGCTTCAAGAATATAGATAAATATGGTGGTCAGGAGTGTTACTATCGGCTTCAGTTCAAATGCCAGCTGTGCCCCTTTCTAGACTTGGAGGATCTAAAGAGGGCACTATTAAGGCTGGACTTCTGCAGTGTCTATTGAGCCATCTCTGTACAAAATTTGGAAAAACTATTGAGAGGGGGAAATGGCAGCCAGATTGGTTATTGGTGTATCTAGAAGCAATCACCTTACACCTGTACTGAAATAACTCGATTGGCTGCCAGTTAGTTTCCAGGCAAATTACAGTGTTGATTGTTATCTTTAAAGCCCTCCCTGGTTGGGTCCAGTTATCTAATGGGTTGATGCCTTCCGTATAATCCTTCCTGTACACTTGGTTCTTCAGAGATCCAGGCCTACGGTAGTCAGGCAACTATTAACCTGAGAACATTTTCTTCAGTCGGTCCCAAATCATGGAATGACCTGCTGGAAGTGATTCAATAGATGGATACACAGTCTAAGTTTAAAATAGCATTAAAGACCAATCTCTTCCAGCTGGTTAAATTGTGAGTTTTGAAGTTATAGATTGTTTTAAAATGTGTATCCTTTTAAACTAATGTTAATGCTCTTTTACCTGAACATCTATTTTTAAAACCAAGGAAATTTATTTGACCAGAGCTCATACGACGACAGTGGAGCAATATAAAAGTGGACTAGAACTGTGGTCAACAATGGTACTCTGATGCTACCTCTATTGCCACGGAAACAGAATTATTCACAGTCTTTGTTTTGTTCTGTTGTCCAGGTGCCAACAAATCCTTCTGCAGTGACACAGAAAGCCTGGGAGGGAGCACTGAATGCCAGTTCTTGGATTCGGCCAGCTCCAGTCCAGGTGAGAGGCAGTACTTCTTGTTACTGTTTATGTCTTGCTCCTTTTTTCATAACCTGGACAATAAAGATTGCTCATACTCCCAGGTAGGCTTCTTGGCTTGACCTGAGAATAGCATGCAATGATAGTCCAACTGTATGCATAATATTGTCAAATCACTGTTCTCCAAGAAATGGCATTGCCTTTAATTCTGTCCTCTGAGAAAGCCGGTATATATGAAAGTAGTAAGCAAGTTGATGCTGATAAAAATATTCCCATTGCCATATCCAGCAAACTGCAGGCAAGTCCATATTTCCTGCAAGGTAAGCAACTGGAACATGAGAATATTTTATTTTACTAATTGGACAGAGACAATATTTCATCAAGTCTGATTTTAAAACTGTATGCAGCATTTTCTTTTTCACACAAGAAATATCCCGTCTAGAGTTCAGTGTGGCTTTAAATACCACTCATTCTTGGCTCTTCATTGGCTTCCATGTTTGTTTATAGAAGTGTTTGATTTATGTTCAGGCCACAAGAAGTTGCTGAAAGCTCCATCTACTGGCACCGTGTCCTCCTCGGAGGACTGTGAAGACAGGGATCTGATACAAGCCTATGACAATGGTGAGGAGCCAAAACCAGAATAATAAAAAATGAAGAGAGAAGATGGTTCTGTAATTACAATCACACCCAAATGTTGCATGGAAAAATCAATATGTCTGTCTGTGGGCATTTATGCCATCAGGCTTGGTCAGGATAATCCAACCCACCAAACATTGATTCAAAAAAACACTTTAATCTCTCCACACTCTACCATATGTGATTATTATCCTTGCTTTCTATGTACTGTAATTTCTTTTAACAGTTTCTAGTAATACTTTATTTGTTTCCTATTACCCATGCCAACATACTAACCTGACTTATCAATTAACGTCAGGAAAAACGAACTCGAAGGTGGAAAGCATCAATTTCATTATCATTATTTGGTACATGATAATCGTGTGTATATGTGCTTTCAAGTCACCTGTCAACTAATAGTAACTTCATACATTTCATAGGCAAGCCTATAGCGCTTGATATTCATTGCCAGTCTTGCATCCAAGTGCTAACTATAGCTGACCCTACTTAGCTCCCAAGATCAGATGGAATCTGGTGCAAGAGGCATACAAAATGTCATGAAAAAGGATGAGCTTCTGTAGGAAAATCTTTATTCTAAGCAAGTTACTATTATATACTCAAGTATAAGCCAATCCAAATATAAGCCTAGGCACCTAATTTTACCACAAAAAACTGGGAAAAGGTATTGACCTGAGTATAAGCTGAGGGTGGAAAATGAATTAGCTACTGGTAAATTTCAAAATAAAAATAGATACTAATGAAATTACATTAATTGAGGCATCAATGGTTAAATGTTTTTGAATATTTACATAGGACTGTAATGTAAGATAAGATCGTCCAACTCTGATTAAACCATTATTCTGACCTTTTTCAATGTAAATGTGCTTACGTATCTTTCCAATAATAATAAATAAAATAAAATAATACATATAACAAAAATAATAATAGTAGAGTAAAATAATAGAAATGTAATAATAAAAGTAATAGTAGAGTAAAATAATAACGTTAAAACAATAAATAGAGTAAAATAATAAATGTAATAATAATATACTGAAATAATGTAAATATAATAATAATAAATAGAATAAAATAATAAATGTAATATTAATAAAATAATAACAGAGTAAAATAATAAACTTGACTCAAGTATAAGCTGAGGGGGGCTTTTTCAGCCTAAAAAGGGTTGAAAACTCAGCTTATACTAGAGTATATATGGTACATTAGATGTATTTATACTTGAAGGCAGTTTCCCTTCTTTGTGAGAGTTACAAAATTACAGAATTATCTTAAATCATATTGAATCACATGTCAAAGAAATATGAAGACTTAACAGGACTGGGCTCCCCAGATTCATGTCTATTCACATTTAATTCAGAGTTTTGTTCTTGGAAATCCATCAGAAAACCAGGAGACTGGACCTCTTCGTCTAGCCTTCAATAGTACATCCAAAGACTATGACAGAGTAGTCATGCATGCTTCTGTTCTCCTTCATCAGTTTGAAAGACTTCTCAAATGCCTGGCACGGATGTTAAATAAATAAATATTCTGGAAACTTTCACACTTTTTAGGAACAGGTTATCCTGCTGGATGTTTATTTCTCATGATCTTCTGTGTGTCCCTCAGTGGTGTCCTAAAATACAAACATTAATCCTTTCATTACCTGAAATGGAGCGAACACCCATTGGGCTGTGTTGCCACAGATCATAGGAGGATGACCTTATCAGAAGCATTTTAAGGTTGATATTAACTTCTTTTACAAACAATGGTGACTGCCTCCAGATAGTTAAAAAATCTCAGCAAGTATTAAGGTTTTCCTATTCTTTTTGTACTTGCATATCCATGGGTTTGCATCAAGGTTCTTCACAAATTTCAGTTTTCTTTTTCTTGTTTCACAATCACAACTCACAATCCATATAACTTTATATTATGTTATACATTCCTTTTTTTAACAAAATTATAGAATATCTATAATATAGACAATCTTTCTCCTCGGAATACATCAGATGAACAGAACATTACACCTCTGAGTACTTGTCACATAAAACAAATATTTACTATACAAAGAAAGCTCACATTTGTGAGAAAATGATAAATCTGCAACTCCATTTTCCTTGTATGTGGAAGGCTTGGTCGTGCAATCCTGTCACACATGGTATTGAGATTTAAGATTATTTCCCCTTCTGCATTGTCTATTATTTGTATAGATGCAGTGTCTGAGTTTGAAATGTAATACTAGGTTATTGCCATTTGGCAATCTGCATAAAACCTGATGTTGAATACATTGCAAAATTACAAAATGGCAGCCCACCCTATTGTTCTTTCTCTAGCATACAGAAATCATTACAAGATCAACTACACAATGTGTTGCATTTACACGTGTATAATGGAGCATGTTTCTGCTTTATCTCTCTAGCTTTCCCACCTTGGATTTCTCAGTTTCTTTTAAAACCCATGAGTCTGGGCTTTTTTGTGAAGTGGGGAGGAAACTACTTTTGTCTGTTCTCGTTTTCCTACCCACTTTGTCTTTCCTTTGTGCAGTTGCATGTTTAACTATTCATCAGTCTATTAAAAAAAGAAAGATTCTCCTGTCCAATTAATGATTAATGGCCACTTGCCTCATCCCCTTTTCAGATCTCAGTGATGTATCGGAAAATGGCTTGCCCCATGGCCTGCTTAAGAACATAAAGCTGTCAAGTGCTGCTCAGACTCACCGGCTGCGGAAGCTGCGGGGCCCTTCAAAATGCAGGGAGTGTGAGAACTTCGTTGTCAGTGGCCTTGAATGCGAAGAGGTAAGTGAGTGTAAACTTCGCTGCAGCATGCATTTCTGATTTCAAGCAAGCTTTTGTCCTCTGAGCAACAACAGGATGAGCACCTAGGAGTTGGAAAATACACATCGCAGCCTGGAGCTACCAATGTAAATAGCAAGTACAGTTGTCAGAGTGAAAACTGGAGAAGGCTTCTGTACCTTTAAAGTTTAGAGAAGAAGAGATTTCAACAGAATTATGATTGTTCCTGGTTCCATGACAATGTAGAAATCCCTTCTCCAACACAATGACTTTTTTTCATGTCAGGAGTGACTTGAGAAACTGCAAGTTGCTTCTGGTGTGAGAGAATTGGCCTTCTGCAAGGACGTTGCCCAGTGGATGTCCGGATGATTTCTGTTTTACCATCCATCATCACTCATATCCTTTCCTGAGAAGCTAGAGCTCAACAGACAGGAGCTTACCCCGCTCCCCAGATTCGAACCACCAACCTTTCGGTTGAGAAGTTCAGCGGGCACAGGGGTTTAACCCACTGCACCACTGGGGGCTCCTTACACAACAATTAAAAGTATAATAGTCATGTCTAGTTTTCAGTTTGATAACCTTAGTACAAGACAGTATATGCTAATGCTGATCTGGAAAATAACTGGAAAAAGTAGTTATTTACACTAGAATCCTATTTGTGTGAAGGTGGGAGTAATCTTCATTGAATATAATAGGAGTTATTTCTGACTAAATATGCATAGGACATCACTACATCTATGAATTTAACACAAGGCCTTACCTTAAGGTTGCATCATCTGCTGGCTGAACCATTAACTCATCCAGTGGTTGAGTACTTTTCAATGAGATGTGATTAACCTTCTGAACTTGAGGAAAATAAAGATCCATAAAGGATTAAATGTGAATTCTGACATTTCATAGACTTGGATGTGACTCTAGGAAAAGTGAATGGGGGAACTGACTCTGATTGAGGCAAGGTTTTATTCAGATCTTGGAAAAAATCAGATAGCTCAATAGATCACAGATAGCCCAACAAACCTGGAGTTTAATTTGTGGTCTGTAATGCAGGATAGCTAGAGACATTTGAGTATCTTTTTCAGAAAGGCAGGACTGGTTTGAGAGCTTGGCTCTTGTGATGTGCGCAAAGTGTTTGGCAGAGTGCAAAATGTTCTCAGGTGCATTGTCCAAAACTGAAAATGGGATCAGCATCTGTGCCTGAAGCATCTCCAGTTTTTTGGCCCATCTTTTTCTATTTTTGCCAGTCTGTAATGTGGCATGTCTACCCACTACAATCTAGCCAAGTGACCAGTACTCGTCCATAAGAATTCTGTAGAATTCCTAGCCAATTGCGTCTCCTGAAACTGTCTCAGGTGCAAGAAATAATTAGAGATAGCCTTCAGATGAAGCAATAGGAAGTCGTAGCTTTGGGCAGCTGATCCCAGTGGTGTCATTATGGTTGGTTCCTCAAAAACATCTGGTTGGCCGTTATTGAAAGCAGGATGGTGGACTAGATGGATCTTGGACCTGATCCAACAGGGCTTTTCTTATGTTCTGGTTTTCATCTGGCATTTTTGCATCTCTCTTAAAAACTAGCAGGAGTGGAAAAGCTGTTGTGACATAGTTCAGATCATCCATGATTCCACACTTACTTTCTTGTCCACAAAGTAAAACATTATCCATTCCTTCCATCCTCCTTCCTTTCCTTTTGTTTTCTGGGAGTTGTAGGCCAAAACACCTGGGGACCCACAGGTTGAGAACCACTGAGTTAGAGGCTACTTTCCAACGCAAAGAGAGCTACAGTAGTATCCTTCTGGATGCCATTTCACATGTTGGCGCAGCTCTCATTCTTCCAAAAGTGAATACTAAACGAGCAGCAGCCAATCATGAATATTCAAAGAATGTACCTGTCTGGTTCTCATGTTTAAAGTACCTTAGGTACACACTGTAATAATAAGGCAAAAATTACAGTGTCGAGTGCAGTGGTTTTTACCCTTTGTTCTGCCACATGTTTTGGACTTAACTCCCTGAAGTTCAAGCCAACAGGGGCAAGGATTCTGGGATCCATATCCAAAACATCTGGAGAAGCAAAGAATGGGAACCACTGGTCTAATGTGACATCAGAATGGGTACTGAGAACTGTAAGTCACATCAAAAGTAGCTCTCAACTGAACATTTTCACCTGATCTCAGTCTGAGTTATCAGTTTAGAATTCAAACAGAAATGAATTCACATATTGCAGATATGCCTTTAGTCTAACAGCGTATCTGTGGTATGTGCTTTCATTTAAGAATATTGAAGTGAGAAAAAACATGAGCCAACTTCTAGGTAGAAAGGTCACTTAGTGAGAATAACTTGGTACCTCTGGTTTACCTGCAGTGCTTGCTGGCCTGTCACAAGAAATGTCTTGAGAATCTTCTCATCAACTGTGGCCATCAGAAGCTGCCGGCACGGGCGTCATTGTTTGGGATTGACTTCATTCACGTGCCAAGAGATTTCTCAGAGGAGGTCCCATTCATTGTGGTCAAGTGTACCTCAGAGATTGAAGCCCGTGCTCTGGGAGTGCAGGTAACAAGTCTATCACAGCAGTAGACACCTTGGTTTGTGTGTAATATGGCATCACTTAAACAGCATGACTGGATGTTTGCAGTAGCCATTTCACAGTGTTATTGAAAGCTTTCATGGCCAGAATCACTGGGTTGCTGTGAGTTTTTCGGGCTGTGTTCCAGTAGCATTCTCTTCTGACATTTCGCCTGCATCAGTGGCTGACATCTTCAAAAGTCTGTGGGAGGTAAGGCAAGTGGAGCATATATATTTCTGTGGAATGTCCAGGGTGGGAGAAAGAACATTTGTCTGTGTGAAGCAAGTGTGAATGTTGCAGTTATAAAGCTTGATTAGTATTGAGTAGCCATGAAAATGCAAAGTCAGTCAATGAGGGTTGTGACGATGTGTATTTTTATTCCTATGGTTATGTGTTGTTTAAACAGTAGTTAATAAATGGTAAGTGTGTAGGATTATATTTTGTTAGAGATGGTGGCTGGTTTGGCTTGAGCTGAGTTGCCATAGCAACGGGGGTGGAGCCAACTGTTGCCTAACTGCACATCTGTTTGAAATGGGCAGTCTGTGACCGTTAGAGTTACAGAGAAGACTGAAGTCTCTGGTGGGAGATTCAGGGAACTAGTCTGTGACCGTTAGAGTTACAGAAAGGACTGATTTCTCTAGTGGGAGAAACAGGGAAGAGTCTGTGACCGTTAGAGTTACAGAGAAGACTGAAATCTCTGGTGGAGATTCAGGAAACTAATTTGTGACCAAAAGGGTTACAGGAAAGTATCTGTAGTGATAGAGCTACAGAGGGGTTATTGATTCTGGGTTAAGAATCAAGGTTTGGCCGGGAGCCAATTCTGTTAAATAAGCCTTTTAGCTTATTTGTTTTATTAGGACAGTTGTCCAGGAAAGACAACTTACAGAAACCTCTTAAAGTCTGTACCTAAAGATACTCATGAAACCTTACTATTGTAACCAACTAAGTTTGTGCTTCTAGTGAAGAAACTTTGAATCGGTTATATTCTAATAAAACTTGTTACTGTTCTTTTTACAAGCCTTGCCTCTGTTACCTTTACTTCTAAGCCAAACAGCCTGCATAAGTAGTAAAACCAAACCAGGGACATTATACGCTACGCTATCAAATAAATAAATGATACTGTAATTATATATTTATATTACATGTAATATTACTAATAATATTACAATATAATTGGTATAGTACAATATAGCAATATTTAAAACTGATATTGTACTATGCTAATAATATAATATATTGTATGTATATATACCTTGTAAGCCGCTCTAAGTCCCCTTCAGGGTGAGAAGGGCGGCATATAAATGTCGTAAATAAATAAATAAATAAATAAATACTTCTGTAAATAATAGTCCCTTTATAAATCAGCTCCTAAGCTGATATTGATCATTGCCCGGCTTTCCTCACAAATTTGGTGGCAGTAATTTTACAGCCTGGCTGTTGTTGCCTGAGGCATCTTATGTTTGGGAGGTGTTAACTGGTAATTTGATTGTTTGCTGTCTGGAGTTCCCCCTGTTTTTGAGTGCTGTTCCTTATTTACTGTCTTGATTCTAATATTTTTAAAATACTGGTAACCAGATTTTGTTCATTTTCATGGTTTTTTTCCTTTCTGTTGAAATTGTTCACATACTTTGTTTATTTTTTATTTTATTTATAATTCAAACTTATATGCTGCCACTCCCCTGGAGCTCGGATTGGCTTACAAGAACAGGCTAAAAATCTAACACAATTTAAAAACAATTAAAAACAATTTAAAAACAATTTAAAAACAACAATATCAGAGCTCAAAGGCCTGTCGAAACAGACATGTCTTACATGCCCTGCGGAAAGCTGATAGGTCCCGCAAGGCATGGACTTCAGGTGGCAGAGTATTCCAGGTGCCACTGCTGTGAAGGCTCTGCGTCTGGTTACTGTTAGACACAAGGTCTTGACACTGGGAATTTCCAATAGATCTTGGTCCTCAGAACGGAGGGATCTCTGGGGTTGGTAGGGGGTGAGGCAGTCCCTCAGGTACATCGGCCCCAGACCATGCAAGGCCTTAAAGGTGAGTACCATCACTTTGAAAGTGATCCGGTGCTCAATTGGTAATCAATGCAGCTGTAGTAAGATTGGTGTTATGTGGCATCTCATCGGGATTCCCGCAAGAAGCCGAGCAGCTGCATTTTGTACCAACTTGAGCTTCCGGATCACCAACAGAGGAAGGCCAATGTAGAGGGTGTTACAGTAGTCCAGTCTTGAGATGACCGTGGCCTGAATCACCATAGCTAGGTCGTCCCTGGACAGGTAGGGGGCCAGCCGTCTAGCCTGCCGCAGATGAAAAGAGGCGGTTTTGCTAACGGCAGAGACCTGGGCCTCCATTGTCAGCAGAGGGTCCAAAAGGACTCCCAGACTCTTTACCAATGATGACGCGCGTAGTGCCTCACCATCCAGGGTAAGCAGCTGGATGTCCCCACTGCCCGGTTGACCCAGCCATAGGATCTCCGTCTTGTGGATTTCAATGGCTTCTCTGTGTAATCCAACATGATGGTTGTCAGAGTGGTCTAGCATTTCTGTGTTCTCAAGTAATATTTTGTGTTCCGGTTGATTTATCAAGTGCTCTGCTATAGCTGACTTCAAAAACAGAGGAAGTGCAGACAGCAAACCATCAAATTGCCAGTTAACACCTTCAGTTAATACCTGGCTGTTGTTGCCTCAGGCAACAATAGCCAGGCTACCTTTATGCAGATACCCTCCCTAACTGACTTTACAGCTTCATGGCTACTCAATGCTATTCAAGTTTGCTAACTGCAACATTCATACTTGTTTTACACAGACAAGGGTTCTTTCTCCCACCCTGGACATTCGATAGATAGATAGATAGATAGATAGATAGATAGATAGATAGATAGATAGATAGATAGATAGATAGATGTCACTTCCCTCATTACCAACAGACCTCTAAAGATGCAGGTGAAATGTCAGGAGAGAATACTACTGGAACATGGCCATACAGCCCAAAAAACTCACAGCAATCAAGCCATTTAACTGAATTTTATCTTTGTAATTCTCTGGTTCTGTGCAAACAGAGCACTATACAAGTTACAACAAAGCCATTTCTAGTCATGAATTCTACAAAGACAGACTTGAAAGGTATGGGTAAAGCCAAATAATATTTTACAAACTGTGATGAAACCAGAACAGGCTTTTTCATTGTCAGAAGGAGCTCTTGGTCTTTTCCTTACATTAGCAGGCAAGAGAACAAATGTTAAAAAAATAGGCCCAGACAATTGATTAGCACAATTTAGATGAGCCACAGAATTCAATAATTTACTCTGCTCTTTCATGCTTTGTGCCCTCAGCATTTTTGCAGCACAAAATTTGAGGTCTGCTCCCTTACCATATTGACAAAGAAGAGGCAGCCAGTGGTAGTATTCTGGTCACTGGAAATGTTTAACTGATTATAATTACCTTCATCCTCAAGAAAAATAATACTTGCACTGTGTGTTAATGGGTGAAAATGGCTTATTTCTTAGTGTGTCTATAGTCAGATATTTCAGTGGAGGTATAGAAAAAGAGAATACAGAATATTAGTCCAAAAGTTATATTCCTTTAATGCTGCTTAATAGCAAGGTTTCTTAATTTAGTCTGCAGCTTTACGTTTTTAGCTGAGACCTCTGCCTTCCAAACAAAAAGAAATATCTCAGAGTTGTTTGACGCAAATTTTCCCCAACTTAGCCAGCTCACCCATTCATTTTCTCAATTCCAAGTTCTTGCCATTCTCTACTATATCAGAGAAACATTCTGTTTCTCTTTTAGTTAATACCACCCCATTCTTCAGTAAACCTTTCTTTGTGTACTTGAAACAGGGAATTTACCGTATTAGTGGATCCAAGGCTCGTGTGGAGAGATTATGCCAGGCCTTTGAGAATGGACGGGGACTGGTGGAACTCTCCGATCATTCGCCTCATGACATCACTGGAGTCCTGAAACATTTTCTTAAGGAGGTAAGGGACAGAGACAGATATATCTGTAGTAGAACTGTATTTCTTTCAGTTGAAAATAGTTTCCCAAGTTTACATTGGGGGAATATAACCTCTAGTCCATGGGCCACATGCCCTGCCTCCCTAATATACTGAGATCTGCTGTTTCCACTTTTGGATCTTCTTCTCTCCTGAGTTCCCAGAAATTCCTACAGATTGCTTTTTTTTCTAACCGCTATTAGATGAAAGAATAGATTAATCTGTATTAGGATCACAGGACAAGGAGTTAAAGGCTCTCTAGAGCAACTGGCTGGGATTTCTGGGAGTTGTAGGCCAAAACACTTGGGGTCCCTCAGGTTGAGAACCACTGCCCCTAGAGTATCATATAGGTTGCTCTTCCCTCCACTCCATTTCTGCAAAAAAAAAAAAAAAAGTTAAACTAAAGGGTCTGTTGGAGATGGACTCTTTTCTCTGGGAAGGGAACCAAAAAAGCCTTGGCTTGCATCATGTTTTCTCTTCAAAGAAAAATCGAAAAGAGAGAAAAAAGCCACTTCTTCCTAAGCGGCTCTGGCAACCTTAAAAAACAAGACTTCATATCAGCACTAGATTAAACTACTGGTAACAGTTATCTGACAGATATTCAGGAAACAGCACCCAGCAGGCTTGTAGATACTCACAAAAATATGTATCATTTCTTCCTTGCAGATAAATTCAAGGGCGATGCAACTGTTTCTAACCCCTTCTTTAGCCTTGTTCCACAGGTCCCTACTATTCCTCCTTTTCAGTCCTTTTACTCCATCATGGCCATCCACACCCATTCTGCTTTAGTTCAGGACGTTCTGACTTTGAGGGTGGAACCCTTTTTCCTCACTGCTTTGTCAGAGGGTACTAGAGCTAATCAAGCCTGAATTATTACTAGAAGACTAAACTGAGTCTGTCAGACTTTGGACACATAATGATAACACATGCTGCATTAGAAAAGTCCATAATGGAAGATCACCTTACAGATGGATGGATGGACTCTATCCAGGAAGCACAGCTGTCCTGGGTCTACAAGACCTGAGCAGGGATGTTGAGGACAGGGTGACTTGGGGATGTCTTATTCATAGCCATAAGTCAAAGTCAAGTTCACAGCAGTTAATAACAATCAATCCATTTCAGTCCATTTCAATCCTCTCCTGACCTCAAGCCATCTCTGACTCCTTTGCTTGACTCACATGTGGCTCTTGGTGACAAAACGCTGAGGCTGCCCATCTTCAGCAGGCATCATAGTATGCTTCCTCTAAAAACCTTGGAGGCAAAATTTTGTTCTTAGATCAGGACAAAACAATATAATAATTAAAAGAAGGACTCACAGCTTAGCCATCGTCTGTAGGCAAGCCTAGCTGTACCAGATTTAGAGGGTTGATGCACACAGAGTTAACTGGAGTCCACTTTTGTAAAAGGTCTGGAAGCAAAGTCCTATAAGAAACAGCTTAGGGAGCCAGATATGCTTAGCTTCGAGAAGAGAAGGCTGAGAGGTGACATGGCAGCCATGTTAAATTATTTGGAATATTTAAATATTTGAAAGGGCGTCTGCAAAAGGGCCTCCCCCTTCTCTGGCCAGCTATTTTAAGATACCCCACTATTCTTTGATATCCCACCAATAAATATAAAGGATGTTTGATTCTGCTGCCACCATAAAATGTAAAGGAATGAATCTGTCAGGTGAGGGTGTTTTAAAATATCTGTGCCACCTTTTCTGTTCCTTTAAAGTAGAGGTTAGAAAGTGAGAGAGACTTTGCTTAAAGTAAAACAGTAACTGTTGGTTTATTTGTATCCTTTTTGTAACAAAAGCGTGATGGTTTCAGAAGTATATATACTTGGTGATTACAGATGAAGTAAATATTCTTTTATGAAGATGTTACAAAACAAGGTTTCAGCATGACTTTCATTCAAGCCTTTCCTCTTTCCTAAAAGGCTTTTAATATTAACACATGAAAATTGGTTTCCAACAATCTTTGACCTGATGTAGAATCATAGAATCATAGAATCAAAGAGTTGGAAGAGACCTCATGGGCCATCCAGTCCAACCCCCTGCCAAGAAGCAGGAATATTGCATTCAAATCACCCCTGACAAATGGCCATCCAGCCTCTGCTTAAAAGCTTCCAAAGAAGGAGCCTCCACCACACTCCGGGGCAGAGAGTTCCACTGTTGAACGGCTCTCACAGTCAGGAAGTTCTTCCTAATGTTCAGATGGAATCTCCTCTCTTGTAGTTTGAAGCCATTGTTCCGCGTCCTAGTCTCCAAGGATAGCAGAAAACAAGCTTGCTCCCTCCTCCCTGTGGCTTCCTCTCACATATTTATACATGGCTATCATATCTCCTCTCAGCCTTCTCTTCTTCAGGCTAAACATGCCCAGCTCCTTAAGCCGCTCCTCATAGGGCTTGTTCTCCAGACCCTTGATCATTTTAGTCGCCCTCCTCTGGACACATTCCAGCTTGTCAATATCTCTCTTGAATTGTGGTGCCCAGACTTGGACACAATATTCCAGATGTGGTCTAACCAAAGCAGAATAGAGGGGTAGCATTACTTCCTTAGATCTAGACACTATGCTCCTATTGATGCAGGCCAAAATCCCATTGGCTTTTTTTGCCGCCACATCACATTCCTGGCTCATGCTTAACTTGTTGTCCACGAGGACTCCCAAGATCTTTTTCACACGTACTGCTCTCGAGCCAGGCGTCCCCCATTCTGTATCTTTGCATTTCATTTTTTCTGCCAAAGTGGAGTATCTTGCATTTGTCACTGTTGAACTTCATTTTCTTAGTTTTGGCCCATCTCTCTAATCTGTCAAGATCGTTTTGAATTCTGCTCCTGTCCTCTGGACTATTGGCTATCCCTCCCAATTTGGTGTCGTCTGCAAACTTGATGATCATGCCTTCTAGCCCTTCATCTAAGTCATTAATAAAGATGTTGAACAGGGACCGGGCCCAGGACGGAACCCTGCGGCACTCCACTTGTCACTTCTTTCCAAGATGAAGAGGAAGCATTAGTGAGCACTCTCTGTGTTCGTCCACTTAACCAATTACAGATCCACCTCACCGTAGTTTTGCCTAGCCCACATTGGACTAGTTTCCTTGCCAGAAGGTCATGGGGGACCTTGTCGAAGGCCTTACTGAAATCCAGGTACGCTACATCACGGCATTCCCCGCATCTACCCAGCTTGTAGCTCTATCGAAGAAAGAGATCAGATTAGTCTGGCATGACTTGTTTTTGATAAATCCATGTTGACTATTAGCGATGACTGCATTTGTTTCTAAGTGTTTGCAGACCGATTCCTTAACAATCTTTTCCAGAATCTTGCCCGGTATCGACGTGAGGCTGACCGGACGGTAGTTGTTTGGGTCATCCTTTTTTCCCTTCTTGAAGATTGGGACCACATTGGCCCTCCTCCAATCTGCTGGAACTTCTCCCGTTCTCCAAGAACTCTCAAAGATGGTTGCCAATGGTTCCGAAATGACTTCCGCTAGTTCCTTCAATACTCTGGGGTGTAGTTGATCTGGCCCTGGGGACTTGAACTCATTGAGAGCGGCCAGGTATTCCTGGACGACTTCTTTCCCAATTTGGGGTTGGATGTCCTCCAATCCCTCATCCACTCCATCTTGCTGAGGTTGAAGACTCTCTTTTTGTGAGAAGACCGGGGCAAAGAAGGCATTAAGTAGTTCTGCCTTTTCCCTATCCCCTGTCAGCATTGCCCCATCTTCTCCTCGAAGAGGCCCTATCGCCTCCTTGTTTTTCCTTTTTCTACTGACATAAGAAAAGAAGCCCTTTTTATTGTTTTTAATGTCCCTGGCAAGCCTGAGCTCGTTTTGTGCTTTAGCCTTGCGGACCTTTTCCCTACAGGTGTTGGCTATTTGTTTGAATTCTTCTTTGGTGATTTCTCCCTTTTTCCACTTCTTGTGCATGTCTCTTTTGTGTCTTAGCACAGTTAGAAGTTCTTTGGACATCCATTCTGGCTTCTTTGCACTTGTCCTATTTTTTTTCTTTGTTGGCACGGTTTGCAATTGCGCCTTGAGTATTTCACTCTTGAGAAATTCCCATCCATCCGTAACTCCCTTGTCTTTTAGTATCTGTGTCCACGGAATGCTGCTCAGCGTTTCCTTCATTTTTTGGAAATCCTGACCACGTGGTACTTTTAAAACCTCTCTACTGTCACTAGTTTCTTGCTATCAGTCAACTACCTAAGCTATTCCCTAGCTAATTCTCCAGCTGACTCCAGCTAACTGACCAACTGACATAGAATGCTCAGCTGGGCTCTTCCAACTGTCATCCTTGGCTCCACCCATCTTTCAAATCTTGGCACCTGCTCATTTGCATCCAGCCAATCCGGTCGCTTTCATGCAAATAGCTTCTCTACTGGTGCTGCTGCTTCCTGAGAGTTACAAAATGGCTGCTCACATGCCAACCTTTTAAGGTAGGCCACGTACCAACTTTCTACGGTGAGTTAGATCCATTACAGTGTCACACTGAGGAAGAGGTGAGCTTATTTTCTGTTGCTCTGGAGACCAGCCACTTCATCATAGTATTTTAAAGCGAGCACCCCCCCCAATTCTTAGCATCTTCTGCCTCCTGCAGAACCCTGGGAAATGTAGTTTGGGAAGGAAAGGACTTCTCCAGCTGAGAATTGCAAAGGCCTCACCCAAAACTACATTTCCCAGAGTTCTGCAAGAGGCAGAAGACGCCAAGAAAGTGGGGGTACCAGCTTTAAAATGCTAGTCTGATGAGGCAGTAGGTCATGGAGCAATGGATTCAAATTGCAGGAAAAGAAGTTCCACCTAAATATTAGTAAGAACATCCTGACAGCAAGAGATGTTTCACAGTAGAATCTGTTGCATTGGAGTGTGGTAGAGTCTCCTTCTCTGGCTGTTTCTAAATAGAGGCTGGAACCATTTGTTCAATGTGCTTTGATTGTATGTTCCTGCGTGGCAGGGGGTTGGACTGAAATACCTTTGTGATCTCTTCTAATTATTTGATTCTGTACTAAGACTCTTGGTATCCCACTTGACCACAACACGATTAAAACTCCTGACACGATAAAAAAAACTTGACCATGGAAATCCTTTGGGTCACTTTGGGCAAGTTACACTTTCTCAGGCACAGAGGAAGGCAGTGGCAGACCTATGGAAAAATATTGTCAAGAAATTCATAGGAGAGTCAATCTAAAGGCAGGTGGCAACAACAAACAAGAAAGCATTCATGGCTTTCTCAAGGGATATATAGACACACTACAATCTCTGCCTTCTCAGATGCCATCTCCCATTCTTAAAAGGTTGAGAACTTTGTGAAAAGTTTTCTTCGCAATAGCAACAAACCCAATTCTGAAGTTCCACAGATGGTCCCCCAAAGGATATGAAGTACAACAAAGCTGTCTGTCTGGTGGTCAGCCACCTAACTTCTTTACATGCTCAATCAAACAATGTTTTGAAGATAGGGACTGCTGTGTTTAAACATCTTGTAGGTAGGATAATCTAGTGGGAATTGTACAATATTTTCAACTAAGCAACTTTGTCCTCTATTCTTGTTCAACAGCTTACTAGCCCTGTGCTCCCATTCAAGCTTTATGATGCTTTCATCACTCTGTCAAAAAGTTTTCAAAGAACAGAAGACAGATCAGGGGATGATTCTGAGACAGCGGCTAATCCCATCAAAAGCACAAAGGATTTACTAAGCAAATTGCCTGCAACAAATTACAACACTTTACGGCACCTCATTGCTCACCTCTACAGGTAATGGGGGAGTTTGCTATTAAATTCACAACTCTTGTCTTGTAGGAGAGCAGATCTGTTGAATCTGTTGGAATTGGGCCACTATAGAGAAGCTTTTAAGGACCAAAAAGTAGGATATATATTTAGCTGTATGCACAGGAAATAAAAATATTAGTCACATTCCTAAAAGCAGGCCTGTCTTTATTTATATGTGAATTCCCAAATGTAGAGGATGAAAGTTTCAGTGCAATGCTGCAGAGAACACAAAATTGTTTAATTCATTTTTTTTGTTCTCCAAAAAGCTCACATTGTCATTGCAAAACAAAATTTCCATTTCTCAACAGCATCATTTTTGCCCTGAAAGTCTTTATTTTGTGGTGGGCTGGAGAGCATCTCATGCACATGCACATGTATGCAGGCAACAGAATCAAGCTTGTTTATATATGTTTAATACATTTTAATATGTGGTATTTTTACAATTTTTATGTGTTTTAATTATTCTGTAACCTGCCTCAAGCCATGAGAAGAGGCAGGTAAGAAATAAAATTATTATTATTATTATACTGAGACAAAAACACAATATGTCACAGCAAACGAGATATATATGTTGGATTTTGTATCACAAGTTGAACACTTCCCAAGCGTCTAGGACTGTGTGATGTATTTTCGAATGATGCGCGCAGATCCAAGTAAGGTCGCCTTTTACAGTTGACAGATAGTGATTTTGTCAATGTTTATTGACATTATTATTATTATTATTATTATTATTATTATTATTATTTTATGCACACACATGTACACACATAATGTCAAATCCAATATTCAAAGCAAAGCAAACCATTAATGTCTCTTATTATCTCTCCCAGGGTGGCCGAAAGAAATGAAGAGAACAAGATGTCTCCCAACAATCTAGGGATCATCTTTGGCCCAACACTAATCCGCCCTCCCTTTAGCAACGATATTTCCATGACATGTCTGTTGGACTCAGGGTATCAGTCCCAGCTGGTTGAGTTTCTCATCCTCAACTATGAAAGGATCTTTGGGATGGATGACTTGCCTTCGACAGGACTTTGTGAACGTGAAAACTCACTGAAAGAAGGAAATGCCAATGATGCCCTTTCAAGCAGTGAAAGAGATCTTCTTGATGTGTCTTCTGAGGTAAGAAGGAAAGACATAGGGAATTCCCAAATACACAGTCTCAGTCATTTGAGCAGTTTCTTTATTCCAGATAAAGTCATCTTCTATTACAAAACAGTAGTGTTCCAAAAGGGAATAGTGGTATAGCAGGGATTGTGAGGGAAAAAATATTCAGTTGGACCTGCTCTGTGCCAAAGGGAATGTCGGACTATGGCAGAACAATTTGGTATAGTGAGTTAGCCCATACTGTGTTGTGATCCTGTGGAGGCAAGAAGGACTATGCTCTAGGACAGTGATCTCAAATTTGTGGGCCTCCCAGTGTTCCTGGCCATTGGACAAGCTGGCTAGGTCTTCTGCAAGGTTGAGTCCAAACATCTGGAAGGCAGTAAGTTTGATACCTCTGCTCTAGTAGTTTAGCAGCTATCTCCATACCTTCTCAGCAGCAGCAATTAGCAAAGCAGCAGCCAAATTTGGTTAAGTAGCAAGCTTTCAAGCCAACAACTAGGAGTCAGAGCTCTGGAAGCATAACAGCTCATCTTCATACCTTTCCATCAGGCTTTGCTGAAGGCCCTGTGAGCAAAAAGGAAGCTGGGTTTAGAGGGGCTGTAAGGTTTCAAACAAGTAAATCAGGAAGTGGAGTCCTGGGAATATAGCAACCAACCTGCAGTATTTCCCAGCAGCCTTTGGTGGAAACGTAGCCAGGACTTTTCTGGGGAGATCAAAGGTGCAATTGGTCTAGGGTAGTTTGAAGGTAAATGGTTCAACATATCACATATAGAACTACTATGGCTAAACTGAGCCATACATTATTGCAGTGTTAAGATTGCTCATAGTCAAGGCTGATGGTACTAACTAGGCTATGTGGATCTTCTGTTGAATTCAGTATAGCAGCTGATGGGTAAGCCCCAGGAAAGAATTAATTTGCTTGAATCACACACACACACACACGCTGTGATTTGTTATGCTATAAATACAGGGACATGGGTTTTGTAATGGCAAGAGCATACAAATTTATCATTTTCTGATTGAGCTATGGAATACAATAATAATGGAAATAAAATATTTTGTAAATGTTTGAGAAATGTGTTTTGAAAATGTCAGGAAATCGTGTTGAGGAGAATCCTCAACAAAAAGTTTAGTTTGATTTGCACTGAAAAAATGCATGTGTTGTTGCTTTGTTTTGTCTGTACAAAAATGCTATTTTGGGTGCAGAAAAAGTGGCCTTTCTGTTCAGAAAATTGTTTTCTGCACATAAATATTAGTTTCAGCATACAATATGCCAATTTCTACATTGGAATTGCCATTTTCAGCACCAAAAATTGATTTGTTTTTGTATAAAGTACCGTAAGTCCCAAGCTGTTCATTTTTATTTTTTAGTTACTTACACATTAGTGAGCTAGGAGATATTAAAAATGCTTTAAAAATATTTCTTTAAGTGAATCTAAGTTTTGTCTTCTCCAAACCACATAAAACATGCTATACATTACAAAAGCAATATCAAGTAGGAGTAACGGCTTTGAAATTTTATAATCTCTGTGAATGTTTCTATGGGATTTTTTTATGAATCTAGTTTGGGTAAAAAAATTTATGATGAGAGATCATGCATGTCACCTGGATTTTTTTTTTTAAAATGCACACACACACAAGCCCTGAGTGCCATAAAAATAATAAAAAAAAACAGGATTATTTTTTATTCTGATCTTATGGTTGCTTTGCTTTTAGTTTTCTTGTAGCTATCACACTCTCATAAAGCTACTAGAAAAGATAAATGCACTAATTCACAGGCGTGTTTTTTCCAACAGAAAAATTCTTCCAAGTTGTATCTGGATGAAGAAGAAGATGTGGCTGAAGATCGTTCTAACACTGCTGACAGGCAGGAGGAAAGCAAGGAGGAAACACACTGCTCTGAAAACAGAGACACCGTAGGTAATTTCTTCCTCTCTGTATAGACCAGTTATTTAAGGAAAAATGGTCTGCATTTGTGGGGAGGATGTATTTTATTGAGTAAGTCCAAAACAGCAGCTCACTGCAACTCCCGCACCTACCTGAAAACACAATGAACATCCTAGTACAGCTAAAACATCTTCCTCTTTATAACCTTAGGCAATGCTATAGCTCTCTAGACACATGGAATAGATTTTCCACATCACATTCTTCTTCATTGTCATCCTTAAATACAAATCTGTCTGATTGTTTCAGTTGGGGCATCAGTCCTTCCTTCTGGATATTTAAAATACGTTAAGGTAAAAAAAATCCCTATGATTTAAAGTAAGGATTATGTTGATTTTAGGTTTAACACTACCTGTTTTCAGCAGTTCCTAATAGGAAGGAGAGAGGCAGAGATAAAATATTGATACTCTTTCTTCGCACGTAGGATGGTAGGTTCATGACAGCTCACATTCAGTGTATTCTACCAAAAAAACCAAAAACAACAACTAAAAAGCACAGAAACAGCAGGGGGAGAAACACTATGCTGCCACATTACCCTGGAAACACTGGATTCTGTCTGATACTGCAAACTAAGCTAAGGTCAGCACTTAGAACTGATCCCAGAAATGGATCAGTTCCAGTGGAGCTATAAAAAAAATGTATACACTCCCAAATACCTGGTCTTCAGAGGCTGTTAAAAAGAAAAAAGAACAATATTCAGGCTGAATACCCCTAACCCTAATTTTCTCCAGCCCTTTATCTAAGTCAGGCCTGCACAATCTGACAGTGTTATCATCTATTTCACGTTTAAATCAATTTTCTAATCAAAACATTATGGGAGACCCTAGCAAGTGCTTTAATAAAACCCAGAAAAATGACCCAGGAGGTCCCTTCAGTGCTCTGGGATACAGTTTGTTTGGTCCTCATTTATATAGCTAAGTGATTCCTGAATAACTTTTGTATTAATCCAGATTAGTTTATCAAGGTTTCAGGTGTTGCATTCGTGCCCATGTATGCCTCCTATCAAATTGTGTATAAAATACATAAGTTTAAGAACATTTCAATACACAAAATAAAACTTTCCCCAAATCTCCGTTTGTTCTTCCCTCTCACTCAGACCTGAACAGCAGAGACAACACTGAACTAAAGGACTCTCTTCTTGAGCCAGATCCTGAGATTGGCCCACAGTCCAGGGGCCGCTTCAGCCGGGTGCCTGTGAAACATCCTCGCGCCATCATCCCCAAGGCAGCCACCCTGCCCCTGCCCACCGCTTCCCACTCTAGCTCAGAAGCAGGAGAGGCAAGAAGACGCAGTGCCTCACCTGACCCCCGTGGGAAATGCAAGCGCTTTGAGATCACCCCAGAGACTGCCAGGATTGTCTCCAAGCTCCAGCCTCTTCAGAGCAGTCCAGACTGCTATCCAGCTGAGCTGGAAGTCTCATTGCAAGGCAAGCTTGGGGATTCACTTGTAGGAAGCCAGGCTGAATTTTGAGCAGTGAAGCTTTCAATTTCTGGGAACAAATTGAACCAGAGAGATAGAAAAATCCCAATTCCTGGAGATAGTTTGGAATAGCCAGCTCATCATTCTGCAAAAACAGAATATAGGAGTTCACATCTTTTTGCAGACCAGACAAGTATACTTGCAAATTTGTGGAGAATCAGCCCCGGGTGCATCTTGCATGTGTTCCAAGAGAGAAGGCAGAACAATTCTTCCTCCAGTTTTAACTGCTGCATGTTGGCTGGCTGTATTTGCAGAGCTATCCCTAATGAAGTGAATGAGCCAGTATTGAAATGATGGGACCCTATAAACTACAAACCCAACAATCCAGGCTGATGCTTCTGGACTCCCCCTCCAAGGGACTGATGAGTTAGCTCAGCACTCTTGTTAGGATGGAAGATTTCTGAAGGGAAAGGGACAGAAATCACATGAAAAGGGGGTGATGTGCCAGTGGTGCTGTTAGCAAGATATGACTACTTTTTTCTAAGACCTATGTTGGATACAAGACGTTTGAAGTGGGGTGGGGCTGCTGTGATCAGGGAGTTAACTATTCATGTAGGACGTGATGATTCAGGATGCAATTTTCAAGCTGGGCTTGGTGTGCTTAGAAAGGATGGTGTGGTTGTGTTGCTGGGAGTACACAAACTTGATTGCATGTACCGTAAATGTAGAAATATCAATTGACTTTATCACACAAGGCTGTTTAATTACAGTTACATCAGGATAGTAGTGTGTTTGGCATGTACTTATTAGATTATGTTGTGCTTCTCCTGTTTCATTATGCTTCTGTTTGCTTCAAGAAGCCAATTGCTGCGATACACCAGGCTTGTGTGATAAAGTTGAATGTGTCAAGAAAGATGAATCCCTTGCACTGTATGTATATTCTGCGCAAAACAAACATTTTTTCAGATCTCTTCTCCTTTTCTGAACTGTTGTTGTTGTTGTGCATAATTTATTCTACTCAGGCTATTTGTGATGAAAAATAAGACTTAGATATGAATCCCACCCCACTTGAATCCCTGAAAGTCTTGTTATCAAACTTTTGAGGTATTGGAGATTCTAATGGTCCTTAACAGTAACTTTTAGACAAATATTGCAACCATGGCAATTAGAAAGGCAAGGAAACAATCTTGTAAGAAAACTAAATTCTATATTTTCAACCAGAATATTTTTTTTGGTAGGGGTGGTAGTGTGGAAGAAGAAAAGACCAGAGTGAAATGTTGGGAGGAGCCATGACTGGCTGAAAAAAGAGGGAGAAAATGCCAATTTCCAAGTGTACCACCTGCATACACAGTGAAACTGATGCATACAAAACATAAACATTTTTTACATGTCATTTCCTAGATCAAAGTGGTATCCGTACACATACTTCCTATTCATTCCATTTGAACCAGCAAAAGTTGCATGCACAGCCACCAAATAAATTAACACATCTAGCTACTGAAACATCTTAGAAGTGCCATCTCATCTTGATTTGACTCTGAAGCCAGGCATTTTCCCAAACTGTTTTCTTTCATCTTTGCCCAAGCACAATTTCTTCCCAAGTCACAAAAGAAAGAAGTTTTAGCAGGGAACTGCTATTCCTCAGTATTGTGTGTAGTTTGCAATTTCATGCAAGAATAGATTCCTATCATTCTCCTCCCTTAATCTGTGACGCAACATTTAGTGAGTCCTGCTCAAGTTAAGGACTCTGGCTAACAGATTTCATAAAGGAGCAGTTAGGTGGAATCATGGGTTATTTCATGAGGAAATTTAAAGATTTGGAATGGGACACAAAGCACAAACTCCACTGGATAAATAACACCTGCCTCAGATAAGTCTGCCCTGGAGTTACACCTGAATGGAGAGTAAGTGGGTCTCGCCTCCTGCCACAGGCTAGGTTGCAGTGGTGTTGAGCTCCAAAAATGTCCTGATAACAACATGGGGCCACTGAGACTTCTATGAAGTTGAGACTCCTCAGGAATTATCAGTGAGAAGTATATTACATGTTCAATTGCTGAGAAATAATATGACAGTGTTGTCATTGAGCTTTTCCAGGAAAACATCCTGCACATTCTTACTTCAGTATAAACTCCATTGAAGACATGGGAAGGGGGAACACTTTCTGTGGATACACTGTACTTGTCAGACTGTTCATGTTGACATATGCATGAATGGTAATGAATGAGGATAGTCACTTGTCTTACTCCTGCAAATAAATAAGATAAATAACAATGCCCACACCCCAATTTTAGAAACAATTATGGCTCCCCCAATGGTTGGAAGTCCACTTCAGGTTTTGAAAGACAGGCATTATCAAAAGGTAGGTACGTGCTCCTGGAGGCTTCCAGGAGACAATGCTCATCCTATTTTTCTTTACTTTCCTGACCATATTTCATAATATAAAGAGTGACCAGGATGGACAAGTCATGAATTATAGAAACAATATCTTGGAGCTAAATATGGGCCCCATGCTGCCATCTCATCATCCCTACCCTATGAAAACCTTCTAAGAGTTGTAGTGTCTTATATGTTTCCATGTGCTAAGGTACATTTGCGCTTTCATAATGTAAACAGGCCCCTGTTACATATTTCCTAATCAGAAATGCTGTCAGGATGTAAAATCCAGCCTAAGTCAAGGAGCTTTCAGTTAAATGTTGATGGAAATATTATAGATTATACAGATCCAGTCTTCTGACTGTTGGAGGATATGGCATCTCATTACTCGTCATAAATAGGCAAGTAATAAATACTATGGCACTGGTGAATCACTCAGTATCTTGGCCAACAGCATGGTTTCCATAATTTATTGTTTAGCCACCATATACATGCCTCTCAAGGCTATAGAAGAGCCTTCCCAGACCTGATGCTATACAGATGTGTTACACCACAACTCCCGTCATCGCAGTCAACATGGCTGTAATCACTTGGGAGGATGGATCTTGCCATCCAACAGATATGGAGAACATCAGGTTGAGGAACATGGCTGAAGAATCCATTCTTGAACAGGAGCTGGTGCATATTCAGAGGACTTCTGAAAATGGTGAGGGTACATCCAAGTCTTTCCCATTCCTCCAGAATCTTCCTAACCATCTCCACATTCCACACCCATTAGCTTCTTGTCTAGTCAAGGGAACAGGAGAAATTCCTTTCAAGGGCAATTGTACAATAAATGAATTTACAGAAAGAATTGGGGATAGAAGAAGCCCAGTGAACTCAGCCTCTCATCCCTGATCTCTCTAACAGGGTTTAATGTTGATACTTTGCTTATGATTAAATTATGGTTTTGTCACTTGGTTTCCTGCTTGAAGTTATTGAATTGCCTATAATTAGCTGTAGTTCAGCCTCGCCAACAGGGTGAATTAATTTTTTGCTGCAGGTGGCAGGTTCAGTTCTTGGAACTCCTATTGTTTTCACTTCTGGCCTGGTCATTTTACCTGATCTCAAAGAAGGTTTATCAGAGGACTAGGGATCACCTAGCCCTTCAGAAGTCACTCAACTGCAGATCCAAGAAGTTGCAGTCCAATAAGCACAGTTCCCATCTCTGAATTAGTATGAGTGTGATGGTGTAAGGAAAGTAACTTAGTGCTTCCCCATCATTTTACAAAGAAAAAACCTCTCAATTGCCAGACAGATTAGGATCATGCCTATATATATATATATATATATATATATATATATATATATATATAATATACCTTTCTCCCAAAACTGAAACATAAGGCAACCAATTATTTTTCTCTCCTAGAATAACTTGCACAGAGAATCTTAGTGACATGGGAAGAAAATCTGTCCTGGAGTGTTTGTGTATGTGAGAGGGGAAGGGGGCACAAGAGTGTGCTTTGAATGCTTTTCTGTCATTTTATTTAACCTCCCAGCAGGAGAAGTTTACTGATGGGAATTTGAAATGCCAAAAGTATTATATTCCTCAAACTCTATGTGGAGAAATTGCAGAAATGCAGATAAGTAAACTATCATATTTATTGGTCTCTAAGCATAAGGTCACAAACTACATCACAGGGGGCCTCCCCCTAATGGTGTCAAGAAGGAGAAGATGCTGTTTGGGCCGTCTTCAACTCTAAGACAAAACAAAGATTTTCACCCCATAGCCATGTAGAGCCAGAATCAAGGGCGCTGAAGAAACAGACAGGAAATAGTACCACGTGGGGGGTGTCCTGAAGTGTGTTTTGGATACTAAAAGAAAGCAAAATGCACTTGAAAAGAAAAAAACAATGAAAAATAACTTCTCTCATGCTTCATGGGGCTTAAATGTCTTATAGGCATCAGAACTTGTCAGATTTTTGAATTTAAGCAAGGTCGGTCCTAGTTAGTACTTCGACAGGAGACAGACAATGAATACCAGGTGCTGTAAGCTATATTGCAGAGAAAAGAACTGGCAAAACCACCTCTGAGCATTACTCGCTCAAGAAAACCTTATGAAATTCATGGGATTGCCATAAATTGATAGGCACCTTGAAGGCATACACACATGCTTCATTTAATAGCCAGTTGACAAGTAAGTGTCTCCATAGCAAACAGCAGCCCAGGAAAGGCGGAACATATAGCTCTTTGGTTTGTACTGCATCATCAGTACAAGGAGGGTTGGAATAGTTAGACTTCACCTGCCCTAAGCTTTAGTCGTTTGTTTGTAAAAGGTTGGCCCTAAAACTTTCTGTTGTCTGAGGCACATGATAAGTTATACCTGAACCCTCTCACAATAGCAGGTGGCTTTCATGTCAGAGAGGTGGTGAATCTTCATAGAATCATAGAATAGAATCATAGAATCAAAGAGTTGGAAGAGACCTCATGGGCCATCCAGTCCAACCCCCTGCCAAGAAGCAGGAATATTGCATTCAAATCACCCCTGACAGATGGCCATCCAGCCTCTGTTTAAAACTTCCAAAGAAGGAGCCTCCACCACACTCCGGGCAGAGAGTTCCACTGCTGAACGGCTCTCACAGTCAGGAAGTTCTTCCTCATGTTCAGATGCAATCTCCTTTCTTGTAGTTTGAAGCCATTGTTTCCGCGTCCTAGTCTCCAGGGAAGCAGAAACAAGCTTGCTCCCTCCTCCCTGTGGCTTCCTCTCACATATTTATACATGGCTATCATATCTCCTCTCAGCCTTCTCTTCTTCAGGCTAAACATGCCCAGCTCCTTAAGCCGCTCCTCATAGGGCTTGTTCTCCAGACCTTTTATCATTTTAGTCGCTCTCCTCTGGACACATTCCAGCTTGTCAATATCTCTCTTGAATTGTGGTGCCCAGAACTGGAGACAATATTCCAGATGTGGTCTAACCAAAACAGAATAGAGGGGTAGCATTACTTCCCTAGATCTAGACACTATGCTCCTATTGATGCAGGCCAAAATCCCATTGGCTTTTTTTTCCGCCACATCACATTGTTGGCTCATGTTTAACTTGTTGTCCACGAGGACTCCAAGATCTTTTTCACACGTACTGCTCTCGAGCCAGGCATCCCCCATTCTGTATCTTTGCATTTCTTTTTTCCTGCCAAAGTGGAGTATCTTGCATTTGTCACTGTTGAACTTCATTTTGTTAGTTTTGGCCCATCTCTCTAATCTGTCAAGATCGTTTTGAATCCTGCTCCTGTCCTCTGGAGTATTGGCTCTCCCTCCCAATTTGTGTCGTCTGCAAACTTGATGATCCTGCCTTCTAACCCTTCATCTAAGTCATTAATAAAGATGTTGAACAGGACCGGGCCCAGGACGGAACCCTGCGGCACTCCGCTCGTCACTTCTTTCAGGATGAAGAGGAAGCATTGGTGAGCACCCTCTGGGTTCGTCCATTTAACCAATTCCAGATCCACCTCACCGTAGTTTTGCCTAGCCCACATTGGACTAGTTTCCTTGCCAGAAGGTCATGGGGGACCTTGTCGAAGGCCTTACTGAAATCCAGGTACGCTACATCCACGGCATTCCCCGCATCTACCCAGCTTGTAACTCTATCAAAGAAAGAGATCAGATTAGTCTGGCATGACTTGTTTTTGATAAATCCATGTTGACTATTAGCAATGACCGCATTTGTTTCTAAGTGTTTGCAGACCACTTCCTTAACAATCTTTTCCAGAATCTTGCCTGGTATTGACGTGAGACTGACCGGACGGTAGTTGTTTGGGTCATCCTTTTTTCCCTTCTTGAAGATTGGGACCACATTGGCCCTCCTCCAATCTGCTGGAACTTCTCCCGTTCTCCAAGAACTCTCAAAGATGGTTGCCAATGGTTCCGAAATGACTTCCGCTAGTTCCTTCAATACTCTTGGGTGTAGTTGATCTGGCCCTGGGGACTTGAACTCATTTAGAGCGGCCAGGTATTCCTGTACGACTTGTTTCCCAATTTGGAGTTGGATGTCCTCAAATCCCTCATCCATATAGATGGGGGCCATGGTACCAGGGGATTTGGAAGGCATCTTGCATATTTACAACTTTAGCATCCAGAAAGAGAGATCAAGCTTTGAATATTGGGAGGAAAAGCATCATGAAATCATACACCTGGAAGGAGCCTTATATAGACCATTGAGTCCAACCCCTTGTTCAGTGCAGGGTCTCTAGCTAGAGCAACTCCAGAAGCGAGCTGTCCACTCCCTTTTTGAAGATGCCCAGAGAAGCAAACTCCACCAAATTGCTCTTAATTGGGCCTCATCACACTACAGCACGGATCTATTTTAAATCCACTTTCTGCCTCCTGCAGAATTCTAGGGCTTGTAGCTTAGGGAGGGGCCTTTAAACTACTCAGCCAAAGAAGTCCTAAACTACAAATCCCAGAATTCTGCAGGAGGCAGAAACAAGATATAAAGTGGATCTATGTTCTAGTATGATGAGGCTGACACTGTCAAGAGCTATGTGTGATCAGAATCTACCCTCCTTTAACTTAAAACTATTAGACCTGGTCTTCTCCTATGGGGCAGCAAAAACAGACCCCGCCTTTCCTCTTTGTGGCAACCCTTGAGATATTTAAGGGTACAATCATGTCACCTTTCTGTTTTCATTTCGCCAGGCTGAACATGACAACTCCCTCAAGTTTTCTTTATATGTTTTCTTTCTCCATACATCTTATATTTATTGCCCAACTATGAACGCTCTCCAAATTCTTTATACCTTTCGTAAATAAAGTAGATCTGATTTCTACACTCCACATAAGACCCCATTGGTGCAGAATATATTGGAATGATTACTTCTCTTTGGAGTAATAGTCCAGCTCTCTTTGGTCTGAGAGCTGGACTAGGTCACTGGAGACCTGCAACTGAATCCC